CTACTTGAGACTCCACTTGAATGTACTTGGTATAGAATTAGTGTCTGAATCAAAACTTCCCTTTTTCGGCTATTTAAAAATACATAGAAATAAGTCGTAATATTCCAAATTCTTCCGTAATATCTTCTTGTCGAATTATAAATTATATTTCATCAAATGAAATTAGATTTTTAACCCATTAATCGACTTATAGAGAACAATAACCTTATCCATAACCAGTAACATATTCTGATGGATAAAAGTTAAATTCGAGCAACGACGAAGACGATTTCCATTGGTCTAGGACTCATGATTCTCTTTAACCCTGGTGTCTAGTCAAAAGTTGAACACAGCAAGTAGACAACCCCACTGTTATTCAGTTCAATCGATATAAAACTAAACAGTCATAGGCTTCTGAACATTATTTATCAAAAAAAAACATTACGAACATAAAATTACAACTTTTTCACAATGGAGCAGGTGGTCAATAATATTTTTCATTAAAGGGTTGTGGAGAATGTTGAACTTCATTGAAATCATGAATCAATCAATATTAGACCACCAATAAAAACCTGGAAGCACTCAACGGACGTCTTGTCCTTCTATGGGACTCATCAGTAGTATGCATCCCCGATCTCTCTCGTGGGGATCGAGCTCAAGACCCAAGACTACCAAAGATAGCGGGTAAGGTCGCACAATATTAGGGACTGACTGAAGTTAGACGTCAACACTGTTGAATGCCGGCTCTGTGTTCTAAAGAATAAACGTTCATGCTAGAGACTGAATGTCCTTGCGGTCGTGGATGTGCACTGCTGATGAGTCACATAGTTGGACGAAACGGCCATCGAGTACTTCCAGGTTTTTAATGGTGCTCTAACAAAGATCGATTCATGATTTCAGTATTTAATCATTCATAATTTAGGATTACTATGATGTACAACAACATTTGAGAAGTATATTGAAAGCTTACGAATGCAAAAGATACAGCGATCCAATTACTTAATAGTTATATCATAAAAATACAAATAATAATTCTTGTTCTAAAAGTTACAGTCCTGTATCTATGCGAATACATGTATACTTAATCTCAGTTGTTAGCATCATACTCTTGCTGATTTGGAGTAATCAACAAGAAACCCTGATCCTATGTTTCATGCTCGATTGGCAGTTTTTAGCAAGGTGAACATGTAATCCTTAGGAATATGACTGCATCTGGTATGTTTGATTCCATGACACTAAGATTTATATTCAGAGACTTTGTCATTGAGCTATTCACGTCACAATTGAGTTTCTGTAGAACTGAGATAATTGCAGTTGACTGATTATTAAATAATGTCTTTTGTCATTGTAATTTTAACTATTGATCAATTCACTGAGGCATTAAGAATCGAATCTCTATCTTATGATATAACTATTTTCCTTAAATTTATTCCAAAGAAGATTGGTTGTGTTTAGAGACCATAACTGCATAGGGAATAGTACAAAACATTTAGCTCTGTACTTTGACTAACTGCAACTTATTCACATTAAAAAAATGATATTATGTTACTTTGCATAAGCTGATTCATTGTTTTTTTCAAAAGAAATTATTTTTTAGATTCTTTAAACTATAGTTTACATTACAAACTAATGCCACTTGTAAATTGAGCAGCACAGAATAAATATTTCATTATTGTCTAAGACTGCTCATCTGTTAGGACTCACGATACAACACCTCATTGAACTCACTTAGCGAAAAAAACACATTGGATTCGAATTTACTACTTCTGTCAATAGAATTAGAGGTTATAACTCATTGTAGTTGATGATTTCAGTCCTACTCTTAATACTGGCGAAATTCACCGGTGAGTGTATCAGCTAATAACTTTAGGGATCAACACTGAAGATATCTGCTGATTTTTAAGCATGATTGTTATTATTATTGATGAATAATCATGACGAATAATATTAACATCATTAACTGGAGGCTGAATCATTTGGAACTATTCTCTACTTGAGCAAATGTTCAGCAATCTAATTTCTCATATAACCCTATGTTCACATAACAAGACGTTCAACAAGCATAAACATTTAAATTGGACTGCTATTCCATCATATGAAACAATAACTGAGTAAAGTTTTCCTTAAATTGAAGTATCTTTATATCAAGTGTTGACTGATTCTCAACACTTTTACTGGACGACGGATAAACGAAATAGACAGACAGACAGACAGATACAACGCAGAACTTCGTACATAAGTACATCAGTTCAACTTGCCATACAACGTCAGCACAGAGACGTAACTGTCAGTCCAAATCCAAGAGTGATGGCGATAGTATAATTATTAGCAGCAATGCAGAAGATTAGGGAGCAAAGATATGATTCGAAAAGTATAATTCAATGCGATAAGTTTAGAAGGAGAAAGATAGAGATCATGAGGAATTCAGAAGGTTAGAATTAAAAAGCACACAAAGAGTGGATGCACCCGAAATATATTCAACTATCAATGTTTTCCATCTCCGCATTATTTTCGCTCATCGAGAACAATTCCCTAAAGTTAGGTGAAAACCCAAAAACTTTACCCAAGCATCTCAAAGAATATTGTCAACTTTTCAAGTCTTAACTGTCATGTAAATGATACAATCAAAAGTTTAAAACCTTTTTTTATTGATTGTCATAGTTTAAAGCTAAGTGATATGTTTTTTTTTCTTGTTACGACAGAGGCATATTAGTTAATGCTAATCGATATTCCAATATATGATTTGTTTATTATTAGTAATTAAATACAAATCTTGTATTAAATATATATAACACATAGTAATGTGTATGTGATAATGAGTTCCTAGGTTTATGAAAGATAAATTGCCCTAACAAAGGAAGTGGTCAGTAATTAAAAATAGAAAATATTATCATTGTGCAGACTGATAAACATGACATCAATGATTTTAGTATTTTAAGATTCGAACAGACTTTGAGTTAGTTATGAAGAGACTAAAAGTGCAAACATTAGGTCCTCGTATAAAACTATATTCTGGCTGTATATATTCAAATATTTTTCCATGTTTTTGATTGATACGGAACCTAGAAACAGTCATGTCCATAGACTGTGGTTTACCAGTAAAATATGCATAGAGTATTTTGAATCCCTAAATGATAAGTTAATATTTATACATTCGTCTATAAAAGCTACGAATCGATAATTATTAGTCCACTATTAGAAACCTGGACCAAATGTCCTGGGTGAGATTGCGGCCTGCAGAGATCATGAATGCGCACTGTTGATGAGTCCTATACCAGGGTAAAACGGCCTTCCAATGCTTGTTGGTTCCTAATGGTGGTCTAAGAATAATTACTCTCAATGAAATTTTTTGTCTCAGGATTTAATTAGTAACAGTTTGTTAGCATTATCCCTTGCTTTCAGTATCAAAATCAATAAATTAAATGATATGGTCAATATTATCTATGATAATGAAATAAATTTGTGTAAATTTCTCTCCTGGAATTTATTTCATGATGACATCTTAATTACTAATATTAAGCAAAACTGGTTGGAAGTAAATGGGTGTGAATTAGATTAAAAAACGTTTGTTGATCCTGTAGTCTTATAAAAGGAAACTATTGTTGCGGTTTGACAACCAACCTTTAAATATGTCATATTTCACTAGCTACTTCGAATAAAATACCAGCACTATTAGAATTTATAACAAATAGGCATCAAAATAAAAAATGTATTATTTAAGGAAATGAAACATTAAACAAATTATAACGATTTTTGTTGAGTGATGAATAAATATTTGGTTGAATGCAGAAAAACTATTTCTCCAAGAATTTTTTTTACAAAAACGGTCAATTCCGAATAATCTAAATATTTTAAAGAAACTTATGATAATAGTGCACGAAAGAAACTGCAAGAGAGAGTTTCATTCTGTCTCAGCGTACAATGTGGAATCTATGTCTTTTGTAACATCATACTATAATCAGACGAACATGATATGAAATTAATCAGTCTATACTTGATAGTTGTTGCGTCATCATTTTTCAAAACTTCACGTTTTTACTGATTTTATTACTGATGTCCGACAGTGATAGAAAAAGTTTCTACGAAGAGAGTCTTTATGAAATAATCATGAGATTACTAATGAATTGCAATGAAATGAGTTTTCAAGTTCATGATGAATCGTTTAGTAACTCAGGGTCGATGACATGGTAGTTGAGATACAACCCTAATTGTCTGAGGTTGGATATGTAAACCAATAAGCATTTATTCGGTGATGTAAATGTATCAAGATAGCTCTGAAGCCTGAAAAGCTGAAATTTATGTAGGCATGTGTATGGGCATTGTCAAGAAGTTCCAAAGGAAAATCAAACTACTGTTAAGTATTCTTAACATATTAATCATTCTCCTGTTACTATGCTTGCGCTAATCAAGATACGACTTGATATCGGCGAACGGAGCGTAAACCAGTGACATAAACAGGACAGCTCATCTTTTCTGCGTGAATTATTCCACCTAAATAGAGTAGAAAGGCCATGGTTAGTACTGAGCCAACAAATTAACAATCATTCAATTCAAGCGTAATTTATGCAGTAAAAAAATAGGATGCAAAGAGAAAACTAACCAATGAGGTATAACGTCCTTCTAAGTAGAAAACACAAATAGAAGTGAACATGAAGCACATTCGGCGCGAAATTAACAAATTCAAATTTTCAAAAATAAATTACAAAATCAGTAAGTTAACTAGGTGATATTCAGGATCTCCAAAACCCGTTAACGTCTATCTGTAAAGAATGTTAACTTTGATTATGTTGACTTAATTAAAAAAAACGTTATTTATGCTGTAAATCTAATCAATTTTTCTCATTGTCCATTTCAGATATTTTGAAACAAACTATCAATTTATTCTAGACGAAATGGATTTAACTTCATTGAATTAATACAAACAAAATACTATTGTAAATATTTTCATCATTAAGAAATTAACTCATGTAATAAAATTTCATTCATAACAAATTACTCACTGTACGTGAACGCCTTACAATATGGATTGGACTAGAAAGCATTTAAATTTAAATGAAATCACAGAGTTTGAATCACTCATAACAATTGAACCAATGGAAATACATAAAGTTAATCAAGATCCATTAGATTTAACTTTTGAAGAATATGAAGTAAGTAATTTGTAGTAAAAAAAATATTGATATATTACTAACTTGATGAATTTCAATATGAAGTACAGCTAGTTTTTTTTTACTGATTTCTATTTATACCTTAAATATTATAAACAAGGATTCGTTCACGATGACTACTGATAAAACACTTTCAAATGATTGGTAGGTTATAACACAAAATGAAATTCTAAGGATTGCAAAATTTGATACTCAAATAGAATTGAAGACCAATAGTAATAATTTTGTTTTCATAAATCGTGCGAAATGTAGGACTTTCCTATTCAGAACTTTGTAAGTTCTAATAAACCCTATACAAGACTGAGTACCTCATCACGGTCACAAAATCAAGATATAGAGGTTTAAGTTTATTAATCAGAAAGGTGATCTAGAATTGTGTTTGAATTATGAGTCAGAAAGTCATGAATGATAAGTAATGAACGTGTGACTGTATTCTTATAAGGCAGAAGCCGTCCATCGTTACTGCGTAAACCTGGTTACATACAACTTACACTGCTGTACAGGCAGATTGACTCTAGGTGGTCAGTCAGTCAGTCAGTTACAACGAAGGAACTTCGTACATAAGTACATCAGTTCAGGTTGCCATACCACATTAGCACAGAGACGCAATTGTCAATTCAAATCTCGTAGTGGTAGAGATAGTAGAAGTATTAGCGGTAATAGAAAAGATTAGGATTAGAAGATACCATTCAAGATCTTTAATTCAGTCAGATAAGTTTAGAAAGTCAAAACTAGAGGGGTTGAAGAATCCAGAAGATTAGGATTTGAGAGAACACAAAGAGTGGATGCACCTGCGCCATTTCAAACGATTCTGAGCCATGTCATTGAATGTCTCTAACCATTGGTGACTTTCGTCTTGCGGACCCCAACCAGATAATCTACATTTACCAAGATGACTCTGTCCACTTGTCAGTGACTTCATGCATTTCTGCCATGTTTTGGTTTGGCCGCCCCTAACTTTCTTCCAACCTACTTCTACACCACAAAACATAGCTCGTCGAGGCAGTCTGTGGTTTGGCATTCATAACACATGTCCCAACCACCTCAACTGATCGACTTTCAACACTTTATCTATTTTCCTGCCATCCTTACCTAATACTCGTTTCCTAATGGCAGCATTGCTTACTTGGTTGTCCCATGATACACGAGCAATGCTTCTAAGACATCTATGATCAAATATCAGTAACCTACGAATATTTTCTACTCTGACTGGCCATGTTTCACATCCATATGGGAGTACGGAGCGAACTGCTGCACCGTAAACTCGATCTTTTGTTATCAAACGGATATTTCCCCTACGCCATAAATAACGAAGGTTGACAAAAGCCAATCGAGCCTTCTGTGTCCTTGTTGGACTCTAGGTGGTGAGCATCCAAAAACCTACTTTTTCATGCATTGCTACTTAACTTTCTGTAACATTTTTTTTGGATTGCATAAGTAGCTCAGAAGTTTTATGGCTATACTTCATTCGAGCACTATCTCTTTATACAACGATCATTTTTAATACTACTACATAACAAAAAATTTCAATCACATTACTTTTCTATAAGAATTATTCATCATTTTGAATTGCTTTCCAAATATTATTTTTGAGGTTAATTATATGTGAAGCTACTATATCCACACATAGTTATCTCTTTTCGTTTTCAACATAAAACCAACCAATAACTGTTCTTTGATTTAAATTATATAGATCACCCTACTAATTTACAGACTTAATAAAATGCTGAAACGTTGTTTGTTCAGTTTACTACTTATTGGTACTAAATATTCAAGCAATTTAATGGTGACCTGTAAAAAATAGAGACATGAACTTGTTTTATTGATTTACATACTGTTAGCACTACGTCAATTCTTTCATTGTAAAGTCTTATTGAGTAAAATGGATAATATACTACGCACACTTTCTATTCATTAACAACTAGCTTTGAATCTTAGTAGAAGAGATATGAAAGTTCAAGATGACATTATTCCACAACTTTTAATGTATTCATAATAATATTCAATGTATCCATCCAATGTCAGTAGGTCTCTCCTATTCAATATATTGATGAAATGACTTGAATAATATTGATTACTACTTATAACCTAATATTGAACTCAACAAAACATTGGTCAGTAGTGAGGTTTGAACTTAGTAGGTTAGTTATAATAAAAAGAATGAAAAAAAACAAACAGAAACTTGATAAAAATTTAGTGACATTGGATTATTGTAATGAAGCAAATGTTAATAATTTAGATTTTCATGGTCAAACTTGAACATTATGCATCAATAGAATGCAAGCTTGTATAACTAATAAGAATTTCTATTAAAGAAAAGGTTTGTAATTGCCTGACCCACACAATCTTTTCGTATTAAGCTTTTATGTGACTTCAAGTCATATATATATATATGTATAAGTTATTGACTTACTTGATCCTAAACTTAAATACGGATCAATACATATTTTATTAACATAATTCTGCAAAGAATTTTGCGTGCTTTCAGTGAAATTTCACCAAATAAATAATATTAATTTATAACTAATTGAAAAACTTGCTAATACTTGGTTGATTTTTTTTAATACGTCTGGACTCTTCAACAATATTACTTACTTACTTACTTACTTACTTACTTACTTACGCCTGTTACCCCCAGTGGAGCATAGGCCGACCACCAGTTTTCTACAACCAACTCTGTGTCCTGGGCTTCCCTCTCCAGTTCTGTCCAATTTTTGTTCATTTCTCTCATATCTTTCTCTATTTCTCGGCGTAATAAATTCTTTGGCCTTCCTCTTTTCCTTTTGCCTTGAGGGTTCCAAGTGAGGGCTTGTCTCGTGACGCAGTTAGGTGCTTTTCGTAGTGTGTGTTCTATCCACTTCCACCGCTTCTTCCTCATTTCCTCCTTCACTGCAATCTGGTTTGTTCTCTCCCACAGTACGTTGTTGCTGATGGTGTCTGGCCAACGAATACGAAGTATTTTGCGTAGGCAGCTGTTAATAAACACTTGTATCTTATGGATGATGGCTTTGGTAGTTCTCCATGTTTCCGCTCCATACAGTAGAACTATCTTGACATTTGTACTGAAAATCGTGATTTTGGTTTTGGTTGAAAGTTGTTTGGAGTTCCAGATATTTTTCAACTGTAGAAATGCATCCGTTGCTTTGCCAATGCGCACCCTCACATCTGCATCGGATCCACCTTGGTTTTCGATGATGCTGCTAAGATATGTAAAGGTGGTCATGTCCTCCAAGACATCTAAATCAAGAGTGATTTAGTTGGTGCATGTTGTGTTGCATCGCTTCAGCAATATACACACATATAAGCGCACATATGGCAATGTTCTAGCGCTGTAAGTGCTACGATTAATCCACCGGTATAATAAACCGATCAATGTTAGTAACCTGAGAGCATTCCACGGTCGTTTCGTCTTAGTATGGGACTCATAAGCAGCACATATCCACGACCCCTGCCAGCGAGAATCGAATCCAAGACCTTCGGTCTCGCACGCGAACACTTAATCTCCAGACCACTGAGTCGACATTCAACAATAGTAATGTCTAACTTTAATCGATTCCGAATATTGTGCAACCTCACTCATTGTGTTTGATGGTTACTGCCTACACTCTACACGGATGAACTCCACTGGTCACGGCTTCTGACTAGAAATCCTAGAATTTCCTCACGAAGCTAGTCACTAGTGAGCACATTTACTGTGTTCGATGTTTTTATTATCGTTACATAATCTGAACAAACCTATTGGAACCCTTCTTCAACTTCTGAATCAATTAACTTCGTTCATGAAATCTCAACTTGGTTGATATCCTGTAGAAGGATTTTATTTTTTTTCTCTATAACATTTTTCTTTAACAGCCAGTAGTCAGATATTAACTTGTAATGCCTTTTTTAATGATCATATAATACATAAATTATTACAGAGCGAAAACAAACTCCTTATTGATTATTTAAGACAATCTAAGATAATCTGTGTTGCAGGTAATTTAAAGTGGAAATGCCAATTTGAACAAAATGTTTTTTTGTATTAGTTGAACATCATCACTCATTCAAGTTGTTTATTTAACGTTCTACTTGTTCTAATGTCTACCTTTTAAATAGACATCTCAAACATCTGATTCAGTTCATGTATTTCCTAATGAACCACGAGGAGTATTGAAAAAGAAACCTCGTTTTGCTGATCCAATAATTATTGAAACTGAAGCTGATAAACAAGATGTAATTGACAAAGTAAAATCTTTTATCAATGAAGATGAACTAGTTGAACAAGTAAGTTTGATTAAATTTAGATGAAATATCGTTGTTTCTTAATCAGAAAAAAATCTCGTTGATTCAAGGTAACTTTCCTCATTGACTTCAGTCGGAGCAACCAATTAAACAGATCTTTCACTATTCATCAGTACCAACATTTTAGTTGCTTGTCAGTTGAAAGTTTCAAAACAATATCCAACATGAATCAATTTCTCTTGATCTAATAAAAGAGATTTGAGTACCGGTCATCAGTGGATGCAATTATATTATGTAATGTGACCCTACGTATCTTAGAAAAGAAGAGAGCGGTACTGGATTGAAGTATGAACCTTCAGATGTAGGTACAGCCAGTTGATGAGTCTTAAAAAGACGAGATGAAAGTGCAAGTTTCCAATGCTAGCTGGCAACCATAATCAAGGTTAAAGGTTTACTGTCAACTGCATTCAACGTCTCTTAACATACAAACATTTTGAGTCACCCAGATTAATGACAAGGTTTCATTAGCTTGATTGATAGCATTCGATCAGCACTAAAGACAGATAAAGTCAGGACAGTAGTTAGCACTGACTGTATATATCTAAGTTTCGTAAACCGTCCTTATAAGTCGATGACTTAAGTTCATTCAAGGTTTCATATGAACAATGGAAGAAAGTTTCTGGTTGAAGTTTGCATTGTTTTTTGTTTCTTATTAACTCAATCCATCATTTATTTCTCAACTTTTATATATTACAGATGGACAGTATTTCAGTTGAAGAGTATTCCGAAAAATTGACTGATTTAGAGAGTCAAGAAATGTAAGTCTCACTTTCATGATATTCTTTATCGATTGTTTCATGTATATAATATTTCGAAAGGTAAACTTATTAAAAAGATTTTTTGAGAATAACCTGTACAAATTTTAACAATTCAAAGTATTAATCTCGCCTAGGCTGATAGATAAAAGTATCCTTGCAAAAAATAGTTGCGACGCAGAAATTTAAAAAAAAAAACAGTCAGGGTTCTTTTATTCAGTATCCGTTACTGAAATCTAATCTAAATTTATCGTAAAACTACTCACTTAATCCATTTTTTATGTATATAACCTAAATAGAATATAACTTAAATTGTACAATAACAACACTGTAATGATTCAATAACTTACTTACTTACGCCTGTTACCCTCAATGGAGCATAAGCCGACCACCAGTTTTCTACAACCAACTCTGTCCTGGGCTTCCCTCTCCAGTTCTGTCCAATGTTTGTTCATTCCTCTCATATCTTGCTCTATTTCTCGGCGTAATGTATCCGCTGACCTTCCTCTTTTCCTTTGACCTTGAGGGTTCCATGTGAGGGCATGTCTCGTGACGCAGTTAGGTGCTTTCCGCAATGTTTAGCCTATCCACTTCCACCACTTCTTCCTGATTTCCTCCTCCACTGAAATCTGGTTTGTTCTGTACCACAGTACGTTGTTGCTGATGGTGTCTGGCCAACGAATCCGAAGTATTTTGCGTAGACAACTGTTCATAAACACTTGTATCTTCTGGATGATGGCTTTGGTAGTTCTCCATGTTTCCGCTCCATACAGTAGAACTGTCTTGACATTTGTATTGAAAATCTTGATTTTCGTTTTGGTTGAAAGTTGTTTGGAGTTGCAGATATTTTTCAGTTGTAGAAATGCAGCCCTCGCTTTGCCAATCCACGCCCTCACATCTGCATCGGATCCACCTTGATTGTCGATGATGCTGCCCAGATATGTAAAGGTGTTAATGTCCTCCAAGGCATCTCCATCAAGAGTGATTTAGTTGCTGCGTGTTGTGTTGCATCGGAGAATTTTACTTTTTCCTTTATGTATGTTGAGACCTACTGCTGCAGAGGCTGCTGCTACACTGGTCGTCTTCTCTTGCATTTGTTGTTGAGTGTGCGATAGAAGAGCCAAGTCAATAACTTACTGGCCACCCCAAAATATTCACATTAATTTCCGTGTTTAACCAAGAGAGAAATTCTCTCATTATATTCTTCAGATATGTATACGATGATGGCCTGGATCAACTCATTAAATTGACAAGTTCAAAGTTTCACTTATTTACGAGATTATCAACTCTCATTCTTCTCTTCTTCAATCACAAATATTATTTTTTACTTTACAGGTCAAAACTATTCATATCTCTTCATTCACACTTTTCAATCTATTTCTACTGGTTTTTGATTCAGAAAGTAATAATTTTGTTTGAATAATTACTATAACGAAAAACAGTTTCAGTTTCAGTTTCGTAATTCATGCGACAATTGCTTATCAAGAGATTAATTTTTTAAGTAATATTTAAATTATAACATATATGCTGGTTGTGTAGAATTGTTCATCAAATCAAGCATGCTTATTACTCTTAATCCAATCAGTAACAAATCTCCTATCCTTATATTTATTTACATACACTCGTTTGTGTGGTTTTTCTAAATTTGTAAATATTTGTAAACAAACATTGACCTAATCTGTCTGAGTCACAGTTGGAAATACAGCTTACTTTGTTATTTACATATTCCTAGTTATTATTCATTTGTGTTATTCATTGCTGAGCTTTTCGAAATCACAGAAGCCCTTGTTATACAATGATTCATGTAGTTTTTCGTTCAGTTAGACGCCATACATTGTCTCATATAAATAATGACGAGAATGTAACAACAACAACAACAACAGCGACCAGTAATCTACAACATGACAAATTGATAAAATATATAAACCAAAATCAATAAAATATCCCTGAATTACTTTTACACTTGAAAAATGCATGTATTGTTTATATTAAGGATATTTTATAAGTGGGAAAACAATGTTCATCAAGAATTTAGATCAATTACAAATTTGAGAGGCACTGATTATTTATATACGTGTATATCATTTTCCCATAAGACCTGAGTCAGTCAGTCAGTTGCAACGTAGAACTTCGTACGTGTGTACATAAGTTCAGGTTGCCATACCACATTAGCACAGAGAAGCAAATGTCAAATCAAATCCCATTGTGATAAAGATAGTAGAGGTATTAATGGTAATGAAGAAGACTAGGGTTCGAAGATATTATTCAAGAAGTATAATTCAGTGAGATAAGGTTACAAAGACAAAGGTAGAGCTGTTGACGAGTCCAGAAGATTAGGATTTGAGAGAACTCAACGAATGGATGGACTTGAGCCATTGCAAACGATTTTGAGCCATGTCGTTCAACGTCTCTAACCATTAGTGACTTTCGTCTCGTGGACCCCAACCAGGTAGTCTACATCTACCAACATGACTCAGTCCACTTGTCAGTGAATTCATGGATTTCTGCCATGTTTTGGTCTGGCCACCCTTAGCTTTCTCCCAATCTACACCTACACCACAAAACATAGCTCGTCGAGGTGGTCGGTGGTTGGGCATTCGTAACACATGTCCCAACCACCGACTACCTCGTTCTCCAATCGACCTTTCTGGCATGGTCGGACCTTCAGGAACATGTGTTCCAGCCAGTATAGCTCGGTTGGGTCATCACGATAGACAATCCCGACCACCACGTCAAGTTAGCAGCTTCGGTATGGCATAAGACCTGAAGGTTTTATCATTTACTAATACAGTTCTAAGTTGATCAGTTTATGGTGAACAGCCACTATAACCATTTCGAATTCTGATGTTCTATTTGAAAAGCGGATTTTTTTTCTCTCATCCTTATCACAGTAGTTCAAGACTTATAAAGACATTTTTAAAAATATTCAACCTTAGAGCCACTGATTAAAAGAGATTAGCTCAATGCCAACAACATAGTGGGTTTAATTCAGTTTTTGAATACTAACTCGTTGTTAGGTTTTTACTTATGCTTCATTGTATGTGTTACGCTCGTCTCTAGGTATGCTTAAACTATTACGAGTTCACCTTAGAGGAATAACGAGAACAAAACAATGAACCAGCGTCCAGGTAGGCTACTCTAATCCCTTGACCAAATCGTATCAGCAAAAAGTCTTGATATAGTGTAGAAATTGTATTCTACAAACACCCAGTCAGCACACAATTAATCCAAGCACTCAAATTGCGTTTATGTTTACTCTATAGAGACGTCTTTGGGACAGTCACAAAAATAGCACACTCAAATGACACAGTAACCAATCACAGCTAATGATTTTCCTGGTGGGAAATGTGATCTCAAGGTGAACTGATCAGTCCATGAAATAAATCCAAAATGAAGATATTTATTAAGCGATTTCTGGGGATCTAACATCCCCAACAGTATGATAAAAAGAAATTGAATGCAGTCACATATCATGTAACTATATTGTGTTTTTTTCCACTAACGATAAATTAGTCTTCTGCAATCATAATAATGTTCGAAATCGGAATGTGTTGATTTGTTTAGTTAAAACACGGAAAACATAATCGTTAATACGATTTTAATTCTAGGGATTTGATTACAAATGACTACAGAGTGGTTTTCATGTCATATGACTGTGTTTACAAAATTTGTTTAGTTAATTTTTGAAACTATTGGCCTTTACATTGCCTACGACTCTGAAGGTGATTGTCTTTATTGGTTGTTAGTAATATTTTAATCGGAATTCTCATTGGTTGTTGATTACTTTTATTAATTGGCTTTTGATTTTATTTTCGGGTAAATCTATATTCTTCGAAATTTCTAACTATCGTATGTAACAAGGTATATTATAGTGGGGATGAAAATAGCTCATTTGTATTTTGTTTATTTTAAACGTAGTCAGAATTAATTTTGGACAAGGTTATTGATGTGTTTAGCAGTCGGCGAATCGATTCTGCTTCTAAAGAGAGCATGAAAAACAAATGTAGCAAAATAAAATGAGTTCATTTTATTTCCGCAGCAAACTATATCATTTTCGTATTTAGTGGATTACCATTACCTGTCAAAAACCGATCAACAATAGTCAATTCCTCCTCAGTTTTTTCCTCTAAATATGATTCTTACCGAAACTGGTTTACAGGTTATAAGATAGAGGCTGTTCAAATCCATATAAAATTCACTTCATTTGCACTTTTGACGAATAAATCTTTAAAACCAACTATTTTCATTAATTTTTCAATTAGAGTTATGGGGATCATTGTTTTTACTCATAGAAATCATGAATCAATCATTGTTAGACCACCATTATAAACCTGGAAGTACTGAACGACTGTTTTGTTCTGGTAAGGGACTCGTAACGCCGTTGGATGCTGGCCCAGTGGTCTAGAGGTTAGACATTCGCGTGCAAGACTGAAGGTCCTGGGTTTGAATCGCGCAAGTTTCAGGAGTCGTGGTTGCGCACTCTGGATGAGTCCCATACCAGGACAAAACGGCCGTCCAGTGCTTCCAGGTTTCTAATCGTGGTCTGACAATTATCGATTCATGATTTCTATTTTCATTAAGTCTGATAGCACTATTTAGAAAATGAAACGCTTGTGGTCCATTATAAATCGTATATTGGAGAATGTGTGGTTGAGATTCTGATATTCATACTTCTCACGTATGGGCCAAATGCAACAAGTGAGAAGACAAGGAATGATTTGGAAGCTTTTTTTACTAACTGAACCAAAGCACGTCACAAATTCATTCGGATGCACGTAAAAGTATTCCTTTTTACAACCGAGTGAAATCTTAATCGATAGCGTTCATCCATCAGCACAGCCTACTTGACCTTTGACTTTGAACCGATGATATGTTCGATTATTCAAACTTATCAGTTATACAACACTGTTCATTTAAAAAGCAATAAAACGGTTGCTACCATAAAAATGCATCATAGTCTCAAAAAGGAATTATTTTGAAGTGGTTGTTTCGTTCTAATACTTCATAAAATACCATGAAACAAACACCACATTTATCAGGCAGTTTATCAAAAGTATCAGAACGGATTCGATCTATCTGAGTATAACTGTCATGACTGATAAACTGTATGGGTTGCAAACGAAATCTATCAGAAATCTATCACAAGCTGTTCAGTCATTTTCAATATTTTCTTTGATATACATCTATTTAGAATTCATCATCACTAGATTCTGTAGACTCTCTCTGGTGTATTTGATTGGGTGATACCTTGTACGAATTATGCATAACGAAAAGCTTGAATGTAATTCATAGAAAACTATTTTGCAACATTACAACTAACATGTAGTTATTCTTTAAATCCTAATAAATTATAGTCAGGGGTTGTAGGAAGGATTTGATTGTGACCACATCAGTTTCCTGTGCAGTTATGAGCATGAGGGTGGTTGTCACTTCCCGGCTGCCCACTCCGTGGAAGCGTGTTTCCTGAGGAACCTGAAAAAGAAGGTATATTGACGTCAGTCTTAGCGACCTGGAAGAGTAACCGCAGAGTCCGAGGAACAACTACTTGAGGCCGGTCGCGCACGGCCTTTCTATGAGAAGTTTTTAAACTGTTAGCTTCGCTCTTGTTTAAAAGTCCTTACCACCGGAGACGAAAATCCGTGAGGTAGAGGGAGGTGTGAAATTTTTGAGGTCGACCTTTTCTAACCCCTTCCTTCCTTGGGAGAAGGCAACATCACTGCAGATGCTGGTTGTCAGAGGGAAACGCCTTACTGCTGTCACACCCCTCTACAGTAGTCATCAGTACTACTTCGACCTCAGACCTTGAGTAGCTGCTTTTGGTCACATTGTTCTCCAGTCGACCTGACTGGCATGGTATAACTTTCAGGGACATATAATCCAACCAATACGGCTAAGTTGGGTCATCATGATGGGCAAGCCCGACCACCACGTCAAGTTAGCAGCTACGGTTGGGCTAATAAATTGTATGTTAAATCCATATCAGAGAAACCAATTAAGGAAAATAACTTTCATTGTTTTCACGAAACCTATCTTTTTATGCATCCTTACAACTGATCAATACTTTTAATTTCAATAATTCACCATTTTTCATGAAACTGACAATTAAAATTTATTAATTACAACGTATTTAATTGTAAAAATAAATAAACAATGTTTGTGCATAAAGCAGGTTGTTAAAATAAGTCAAAATATAAACAGAATTAATCATAACAATTCACCTACTTACTATATATATATAAATATATATATATATATATATATTTTATTACTGTGTAATTTTTATTTCGTTCAAACTGTAGTCAGCTGTATATATTCAGTTCATTGTTACGGTTCGTTATTTTCTGTATCCATTACTGTTATTGTCGATCTATACTGGAAATGTACTTTAGGTTACTTTTATATTTAAAATGCAGTTAATTACTGAGCTTAGTAATTCCATCTCTGCTGACACTGTACATATGCTCTGAAGATAAGTCTCTGACTAGAAATTCAGTGGAATTCAAAGGTTCTTCAGTGAATATCCGTGAGTAAATATAAAAATATCCTCAAAAGTTGTATTTCGTCATCATTTAGACAGGAGTTTTCTAAAAAATGTCAAAAAATCCTTTATAAGTATTCAGTAAAAAATATTTAATAAAACTGTTTACTAATGCAGATTTCAGTTCTGTCATTTGGAAATTTTTAGTTCATTTGAATGTAGGCGCTAACTGAACTAGCGGAGAATGAAGGAAAATATTCTTCTTATCCTGAAAAAAATTTGTAGCATCATACTCTGCTTTTACTAACATTGTGGTTCAAATCATGAATTGGCTTGTATTAAGCAACCAGTGAAAATCATAAAACACCGAATAGCTGTGAAGTTCAAACTTATGAGACAGTGACCCACTAGTAACAACGAAAACTGATCGAATTTACAGAAGTTCGAAATATATGAGTTACTTGGTGCCAATTAAGATCTTGAGCTCTTGCTGATAGACGTCAGAATTGTGTGTTCACACTATTAGGCAGTTCTGTAGTTACTTGGATGAAACAACTAACCACTTCTTTTTAGTTTTTACTGATTGTCTAATTAAGATCACTTCATGATATCAACTCCACAAACCTTTAATACATATATTGCTATAGTTATTATATATTTCAATATTTTACAAGCCTTAAATAAACCAATGAATATCAAGTGACAACAGTTAAATATACAGTAGTCTACAATAAATATCATTTGTAACTTTAAACATAAACTATAATGGTTTCCATTGCTTTACAATGTGAATACCGTAACGCTCATTTTAAAAAAAATTTTCAGTAAAACAATCGTTTCAGTGTTGTAATGATTTAAAAAACACGATAATTGTTTTTGGTTTTTTTTTTCATAGTTTAGCTTAAAGTCATACAGTCTGCATTTTTTATTTTTCCCTCTGTGTATCCATCAGACTGAATACAACTATTTGATTCATTCATTAAAACAAAAACACTTATTCTGTTTATTTTTCCAACTAAACACATACGAATCAATGCACATGGAATTTCGCCTTCATCCTATCTCTAATTTAATCAAAATGTATAAAACTTGCCAATACTTATGAGGAATTTTTTATGACTCTATTTTCTAAAGTAATTAGTCCTTATTATACTATCGAAATGTGTCCTTCATGAAGAAGGGAATAGTTAATAATTAAAATCTTTTTATTCATTGTAGTTTTTTGTGTGTTAAGTGTTCAGTTTTCCTATGAATGATAAGGGTTATTCAAACGTGTTTGAGTATCTTCAAAGTAAAAAGTTTTGAAACAACATTTTGTCATTGTTAGACAGATTGTTTTTCTTTATTTAAAGGATCTCTTTCATAAAACCGTAGTGAACGAGAACACGAAAATTACAGAGTTACTCAGTAAAACAGTAAAACCGTATCGTAAATCGTTCATTTGCAAAATATCAGTTCATCATATCGAACTGGACTGTTCCTGTTGCAAAACATCAATCTATTGTCACTGTTCATGTGTTTCATACAAATTCCACTGTTTTCTAACTCTTCCTTTCTTGATCTTCCCCCATCTTCTGCTGCCAGACATTACGTTGACACTCACATCATATGCTACTTATAAGTAGCTCGCACCACAAAGCTTCTGAATTGGATTTTTTTTAATATTTGTATAATACGTGGTTAGGAAATTTGACATTTACTAACTTGGTTAAAACATCACTACATTGTTCTGTAATCTTTCAATACGTGTGTTATAAAGGATCCAAAGTGAGGTTTGGACTGAGGAATAACTGTCTAGGTGGTTTAGATACGCGCTATTGCCCAGTTGAAACCAAAACAAAGTGTTTGGGTAAATAACGGTTCTAATATTCATCATAAATATGATTGTACATCATTACCTAAACAAATATTACCACTCAGTTATTCCACCAACAATTGTTCAATTAATCAAATCAACAGGAACAAATAAATGTTATTCTATCCCTCCTGGATAGATCAGAGTCGTTCGACAGATAATATTTAGTTGCTTTATAACACAGATTGTTTCCAATTCTGGAAGAGTGCTTCAATTCACAATCAAAATGCACATTTCCAGTGAAAGCAAGCAACCGACACAATCAAAAGAGGAACAAATCATTATGGCTGTCGCCAGGACTAAGAAGTATCAGCTTAAACAACATAACTGCAGTCCAGAAAGAAACACAGAAACTCAATGAAAGCAAAAAAAAGAAATAGAAACAATAGTAAAATAGAAATATCATCATCTCACAATGGAATTGAACAGACTAACAAAATGTGGAACTGAGGGAATCAATAAGAACGAAGTACAAATGTATATATGGAAGGATTTTCACAAACAAAGCCTTTAAAACGGATCTTACTTATTAATAGTATACCTAAATGATTATTTCTAACTAATCATAAATCTGAATATAGTGTGTAGTCTGAGAGTGGTCTCTCTCTCTGTAAGTTGTCAAAAAGAGCAACATTCCGCAGCGAAAGGTTTTTAATTCTTGACAATGAGTTAACAATTTCCATTACTATTTCTTGAAATATAGTCTTTTTCTTTTGAAAATTCGAACAAGCCAAATATCAAAATTTCTTTTGAAACCATGAATCGATCAATGTTAGACCACTATTAGAAACCTGGATGCACTGGAAGGCCGTTCCGTCCTGATATGGGACTCTTCAGCAGTGCGCATCCACGACTCCTGCAGCCCGCAGGATTCGAACCCAGGACCTTCGGTATTGTGCGCGAACACCCTAACTGTTAGACCACTGAGCCGGTATCTGGTGGTGTTAATGTCTAACTTGATCAAATTCACGGAGTTGCGCAACCTCATACACAGTCTTCGGTAGACATTGCCTACACCCGAACAGGTTGAACTTCACTGGTCACGTCTTCCCACTAGAACTCGGAGAATATTCCTGACGAAGCTAGTCACTAGTGAGCACAGGTAATTTGCATTACGGGGTTGTGAAAATTGTTAAGTTACACATTTTTGAAACCATGAAGAGTCCCATACCAGGACGAAACGGCCGTCCAGTGCTTCTAGGTTTCTAATGGTGGTCTAACATTGATCGATTCATGGTTTCAAAAATGTGTAACTTAACAATCTTCACAACCGCGTTATGCAAATATCAAAATAACTAATGAATAGAGAAAATAGGAAAATGATAACTGTGACGTTTTTCTACAATCTAATTTACAATCTGCACTGATACATGTTCACTTTTTTTTGTCCATCAACTTACAACTATGATGCATAATTGATTTATATTCACTCCATAAAATCAATCAGAGCTATAATAAAGTCTTCTGTGAATGATAATTAGTTAACGTTCAAGTGAATATTCGTTTGTTTATTTGACTTGTCATGTGATAAACACAAAGAGAAACAGACATGCGCCAGACGTGATTTGTTTGTTCTCTTACCTGTCTACCTGTCTATTCTCAAAACTTTTCTAAAATTTATGACTAAGTAGTGTTTTAATTAAAGTCAAGACAAATTTGTCTGACTTTTTCCTCACTAAATAATATCATGCTGCGTAATAAACAACAGAGATATTTTGATAATTTATTATTGGTCAACTCCTATATTAAATAAGAATTGTGTTGTTTACTGGATGGATTCTACCTTAAGTTATTTAAAAAAATAATGAAGGAATCATTTTCAATGTTTACAGTTGATTGTTTTATCAACATTTACAAGTATCAATTGAATTAGTCATTGTAAACTAATTATTTTTTGTATGTAGATTTCTAAATCTTTGTAAGCGTTAATGCAAATAACTGTTTAAACAGTTGGTTAGGTAATCTTTCAGTGTACAGGAGTATGAAAAAATGTGGTTATTTTTTAATTATAGAGTTGTGGAGATTAATGAGTTTCACTGAAATCATATATCAATTATTGTTGAAACACTAGGTTAAACAAAGAAGTACTAGTATGCAACTCATCAATAGTGTGAAACCACAACCTCCGTTCACGGTGAAGGGCTAACAACGATCGATTATTAATATCACCATAACTCTATAATGAAAACCATACAATGTGCTCCCTAGTGACTACCTTCGTAAGGAAATTCTCAGAGTGGTAGTGAGAAGCCGTGACCAGTGGAGTTCAACCCTGTCAAGTGTAGGCTGTAACTAATGAAGACGATGAGTGAGGTTGCACAATATCAGGAACTGATTAAAGTTAGACATTTGCACTGTTGAAAATCGGCTTAGTGGTCTGGAATTTAAGTGTTTGTGTGAGAGACCGAAGGTCCTGAATTCGATCCCTGCGAGAAGGAATCGTGGATGGGCACTATTGAAGAGTCCCATACTAAGACGAAACCGCCGCCGAGTGGTTCAAGATTCACAATAGTGGTCTAACAATAAGTGATTCATAATTTCAATCAAAATGTATTGTGTTTTTAGTAAGTCGTTAAGGGCTTTATTTGAAATACAGAATTAACCATTGTATATGATTTAAAATTTAAGATATCAAATTATTTTTCCATCATCAGTATACATTAAATATCCTTGTAGGATTTAAATTGTCCTACAGATGTACTTCTAGAACTGTAAACACAATATTGGCGAGCACAGAGTCTATTAGAAAGCTATAATTGGAACGAGACCAATTTTGCTTTAAACTTTATCTGTTTCTAAACATAAAAACAATTAAATTAGTACAATAAATAAGGAAATTACAATTATCAAGTAAGACGAGTACAAACGTACCGACCAATATAGCGTGTCTTATGGAAATGAATAAAACTATGAGTCACATCAATTATAATAAGATAATCATGTCCTTCAATTAGTAGGTCATTTACAACAAACAAAGTTTACAGAAACGTCAGATAAGATCACGTGGTGGGCGCTTAAACCACAATTGGTTGATTGGTTAGTTATGACATTACTACAATTAGTTATGAAAATAACTAACAATCCTCTTACTTCAATCTTTTCGGAAATGAATATTTTTCCTTATGAAGAATCAACTATCTGTTCTAAGCATTAAAAATCTTCGTCAATGAATTTATATTGATTTTGTCATGACATAGGACTAGGCCTTTGATTTTCAAGTTACTATTTTAATTATTTAAAAGAAATAGTTACTAGTGCTTACTATGATTTAGAGGGTAAATATTGAATGTAACTATAATAGTAACAAGACATATAACGTCAACAGTTAATCTGTTTGATATTTTCAGTTCAATCTGTGCTTAATCAAGCTAAAAACTCTGCTAAATATTTCAAATTTCCTTTACAAACATTACATTTTTTTACTGTTAACTTCTATTGATCAGTTCTGTGTTTTTTGATGTAACCGAATTGAATTGAACATTCTTCCGTGTTGAACACACTGTGATTAGCTTCCATTTTACATGTGTCAATTTAATTTTAATAGATCAGATTAGTAGTTGTATAGTGATGAAAGTGGTGTACACTGAGTTTTCCAAATTTCTATAGTTTTCTCTTTTTTTCACGTAAATTCAATTGTCATAAAATAAATTCTTTCCTCTGTTATTATTATTCTTATTTAGATCATCGATTAACGAACAAGATTCTCGTTTAGATCAATTAAGTTCACGAATTTTCGGTAAGTCAACTGTTGAAATTAAACATTCATCAGAAAAGTAAACAAGTGGTTTACGTTTTAAAATTTCATAGTGATTCATTGTAAATCATTCTAGAAAACAAAAGAATAATAATAGTTTAAAAGTATGGTCATTGTGATCTATACATGTTTATAACGTTCCATGAAATAATTCTGTTATGCATGCAGGTAAACATGTCATTTGTGATGCTTGAACTATTATGAGTTTACCTTAGTTGGGAAACAAGAGCGGGGATCGAGGATCCGGTGGCATGACAGACTACTCTAATCCGATTGTACCAACTCCCCAGTGAGTAAAAGAACAAGACTTGATATGAAGTAGAATATGTATTCTACAGACATCTAGAGAGTACGAGGTCCGAGTCCGGAAGAGAATCAGGATCCCAGATTAGGGATCCGGGTTTAGGTCTTCCATCGTTACAGATAATGCGTATTTATACATTTATGTCTAATAGGAGACAACATTGAAGTACGTGTCATTGATAGCCAGGACAACCATAATATTCATCAGTAGGAATTGACCAATAGAAATGGACTTATAAAAAATAAATCTCTTAGGATATTTGATGAATATCCTAACACCTCCCCCTGAAGAAATTGGAGAGACACTCGAGGGTTTATTTACATCTGGACTGTTGTTTGCCGCTGTCGCAAACCAGCTTGTTGTTGAGCTTTGGCATGAATATACTCAATAAATTGGTCCAAGATGTAGGACCAGTCTTGGGTACTTCAGAGTGGTTTGGCTTCTTCTTATGCTTGATAGGACAACTGCTAATGTTAGTTATTTGAATCAATCTAAACCGAGTAATTGTAGATCGGCTGTCGGACTGAACTGAAGTGAGGTGGACTGGGTTTAGCAGGGGGCATATATACTATGGTTAGTTGAGAGTTGCACTACACAACGTCAGATTAACTTGATCCACGATAGTCGTGTCACGATGCAGCTTGGTATCCATCAGCATCTTCATTATGTTAGCTGCCGCTCAAGTATTAATTCAAATCTTGAAGGATCTGTGTGATCCCATCCTCGTCGCCAATTGTTATGCTCGTCACTTGATATGCTTGATAAACGAGAACGAGACAATGAACCAGTGACACAATAGGCTACTCTGATCCGTTGCCCCCAACTAATTGAAGGAAAAGTCTTGATATGGCGTAGAAAGTGCATTCTAAAAACACCCAGAAAGTACAATGATCTCAGGAACATAAATCGCGTTTATTTATACATCATAGTAACGTCGTTGGGATAGTCACAAAAATAACACACTAAAATAACCCATCAACCAATCACAGCCAAGGATTCTCCTGGTGGGAAATGTGATCTCAAGGTCAACTGATCAGTTCATTATTAAAATCCAAAATTAAAACATTTATCAAGCGAGTTCTAGGGATCTAACGTCCCTAACAAATTCTTTTCTACTAATACTGTATTCTAGTAATAAAATGGTTCACTTATGAATCTTGGTAGTCTTAGTAGAGCTTGAATAAACTAACATGTCATGTCATCAAACTTGATATTTTTTGTTGAAAGTTGATCAATAAAAGGTATCAGTCTTAAGGTAGTAGTTGAATTATTATAATTAAGACTTTTCATATCATATAGTTTGACTATGATAATTATTCTAAATTACTCATTTTTCGAAACCATGAACCGATCAATGCTAGACCACCATTAGAAACCTGGAAGCACTGGAAGGCCGTTTCGTCCTGGTATGGGAATCCTCAGCAGTGCACATCCACGACTCCTGCACCCCGCAGGATTCGAACTCAGGACCTTCGGTTTCAAAAATGTGTAACTTAATAATATTCACAATCCCGTAATGCAAATTATTCTAAAATCTTAATTTCAATCATCACTTCGTACATTTATTCAAAAATGCTTTATTTGCATAAATTGATTATTCATTTATCTTAATTTTTTTTAACACTGATTTATACAGTTCATATTTTACAATATTACCACTGTCATTAATTTAAGCTGAATTTCAATCGATTGTCAACTCATTTTGGACAAAATACTTGATACGATATGATAAATTATCATATGGTTGAAAATTTTTTCCGATTCTACCTATTTTTATCAACTGATTAACAAGAAGACGCTAAAGAATAAATTTATCCATATGTTAAACAGATTAGATTGTAAACTATTTTGTTAAGAATAAATGGTAGAAATATTTGAGATCCTGATCAGTACGACTTAGTTTAGAATTATGCGGCTTTGGAATTCAATCGAATGTATCTTTTTTTCAAATTTAGTAACAATGAATAGGAATATTTACTCACGTTTATTACAAAGTAGGTCAATAGATAGATAGTACAGCTCACTGAATAGCATAAATTAACCGATGACCAGGCGAAGTTGACAAATGTCTTCTTGACTGTATTCATTTTGTAATGAAATTCATTGTAATTTTGCTATCATTCATTGTATACATAAGCCTGATTGTGTGCTTAGCAACCTCGTAATTTCTGTGTGCTTGTAGAATAAATACATCCTCCACGCCTTATCAAGACTTCTTAATCTTATTAGATGAGCGTGGAACAATCGGATTAGGATAGTCTGTCGTGTCACTGCATCATATATCTGAGCTCTGAGTAAGGTGAACTCGTAATAGTTTCAATCGTATCAATTGACGAGTATATCATGGTGATATTCTTGTAACGCGATCGTATGTTTGATCTCTAATAAAATCTTTCATGAACACTGCTGAAAAATGCTTTACTAGGATAAAACAACTAATCAGTGGTTCATGGATTTCAATATTTGTCTTACTATGTCCATTTCTGTTACGCCTGCACGTAAACACGTCAACTTGATATACTTGAACTATTACGAGTTTACCTAGTCGGAAAACGAAAGCGAGGATTGAGGATCCGGCGACACGACATACTACTCAAATCTGATTATCCCAACCTCCATATTTAGTAAAATAAGAAGACGTGATATGAAGTATAACCTGTATTCTACAAGCATCCAGTAAGTACGAGGTCCGAGTCCAGAAGAGAATCAGGATCCCGGATTAGGGAACCGGGACCGGGTCCTGGTCGTGGTCATAACACGTTACAGATAATGCGTATTTATACATTTTGGTCGAATGAGAAACAGCATCGAAATCTGTGACACTGACAGTTAAGACGACCAATAGGAAGCAACATTTGGAGTGACATTGATAGTCAGGACAACCAATAAGGAACAACATTCGAGCACGTGACATTGACTTCTAGGACGACCATAAAATTGACCAGTAAAAATTAACCAATAGGAATTGACCGATGATTCTCCTAGGATATTGCAGGAATATCCTAACAATTTCATAATACAAACTATAATAACGAATAAATACTCCAACTATCTAAGCCATCTACAGACCTACAGAGTAGTTCATCATTTTGTTCCGGCTATATTTTCATTTCTCTTATTATATTTTAAACAGTTTATGTAGATTAAAAGTAGAATGATGTGTATACAAATCATTCAAGAATGGAGAAATCTTATTTTTTTCATTTTTTAACTTTTTAGCTACAATTCTACCAGATAATGTATCCATGGAACAATCAAAACAGGATGTGAAACAAGCATATAAACGTTTAAATATGATCACGAATGGTGCACAAGTTTTGGTAAATAAGGACATTCAGTGATTATCTAAAATTGATTTTTGATAATTATTTTGTTATAATATATTCATGACTGTATGACAAGTGTATATTTTCATGTCAAACTATTGACAGATAGGAGATAATGGATTTATTTTATAGATATATATATTGATAAATGAAGATTTTAGGTGGTCATTTATGAATCATGTTACTGAAAATATATTATAATTACATGAACAGTTGTTAGTTGTATAGAGATGAAAACTATGACTCAATGAATTAAGTAATAAGGCTTCAGCTATTCTAATTATGCTAATGTTATGTTCGTCACTAGGTACGCTTGAAGCTATTACGAGTTCACCTTACTCGATAAACCAGAACGAGACGATTACCAGCCACCAGGTAGGCTACCTTGAATCCCGAGCAATGAAACATAAATCTTGGTAAGCGTAGAAAGTATATTCTACAAACACCCAGCAATCACACTACTATCAAGCACACAACTCTCGTTTATTTATACATCATAGAAACGTCCTTGGGACAGTTAAGAAAATAGCACACTAAAATACACAGCAGCCAATCACAGCCATGGATTTTCATGGTGGGAAATGGAATCTCAAGGTCAACTGATCAGCACATGCTCACAAACGTGAAATCCTAAATAAGGCATTTATGAAGTGAATTTTGGGGATCTAACATCTCCAACAGCTAACCAGATAATATCACTAGGAGTCGTAGATGTGCACTACTGATGAGTCCCATACCAATGATTCCAGGTCTAACAATGACTGAATTATGGTTTCTACGTGTAAAAAATATGACCAGTGTGTTCACATTACAATATATTTTGTTTAAACTTTAAGATATTCAGTTGTCATCATTGAATCAAAACGAATAAAAATTACTACAGTTTTAAATCTATATAACTAACTGAATAGAATAAACTTTTTTCAGGAATATCATTATCTTTTTCATTATATAAACTGTATTATTTTGTAGTGTTCCGGATTTTAGACATCGGTTGAGTTATGAAAGACACCTTAAAGTTGAACAGTTGTATGCAATACTGATCATTATTTATTTGCTAACAATCATTGCCTGCATACATATGGTTTGTATAATTAATTTAATAAAAATCCTGATAATTACAATTTGACCGATAAATAACATTTTATTATTTACTGGAGGATTCTCGTATCAATTGATAATTTAAGCAAATAAAAAAATCTGATAAATGCATGGATTGTCAAAAACTGAAAACCAAAGTTCAAATATCTTAAGTAAAAGGTGGTAATTTGAAAAATATAGATTAGAAAGAAACTGACTGAATTAACAGTAGCATTTTTTTTAAATAATTTTATTCACTAAATGTAAAGTTGATCATAATGAAGAAATGATAGCCTGTGTTACTTTACATTAATAAAAGGGGATGTAGGAAGGATTTGTTTGTGACCGATTCGGTCTCATGTGTTGTTACGGGTATGAGGGCGGATGTCACCACTTCCTGGCAGCCCACACCGTAGAAGGGTGTTTCTTGAGGGACCTGAAAAGGAAGTTAGATTAGTGTCGGTTTTAACGATCTGCGAGCGTGACCGCAGAGTGCAAGGGACAACTGCTTGAGGGCGGTCATTCACGGCCTTTTTATGGACAGTATTTAAAGTGTTAGCTCCGCCCCTTTTAAGAGGCCTTACCGCTGTAGACGGAAATCTGTGAGGTAAGGTAAGGTGTGAAATTTTTGAGGTCTACCTTTTCTAACCGCCTCCTTCCTTGTGAGAAGGCAACATCGCTACAGATGCTGCTTGTCCGAGGGAAACACCTTACTGCTGTCACACCCCTCCACAGTCATCACTACAACTACGCCCTCAGACTATGAACGAAATGGCTCCAAATCGCTTGCAACGGCTCAGGTACATTCATTCATTGTGTTCATTAAAATTCTAACCTCAATTCCTCATCATCTCTATCTTTCTTTTTCTTAAGTCATCTCACTGAATTATCCTTCCCGAATCACATCTTCGAACCCTAAACTTCTCCATTACTGCTAATACCTCTACTATCTCGACTACAATGGTATTTGAACTGACAGTTGCTGATGCGGTATGGCAACCTGAACTTATGTACTCATGTACGAAGTTCTACATTGTAACTGACTGACTGACTGACATTAGTAAAAAGGAATAAGGATGTTTAGAAATGACTGAACAACACAGTGACTATTGACTACTAGGACTGAGTATTTCTTTAAACAAACAAAATTATAGCCTCAGCCATTTTGTTTTACCATAAATAACTAATACCGAATGGAATATATAGTGTTTCTGTGTCTTATGTGAATTCTAATTTTATATGATTGAAGGAAATATTGTAAACAGGTGAAGTAACAACTCACTGAACAAAACTTAATGAGCTACATTTCTAGAGTTGAAAGATACTCACTCACCTAGTACATTTTGCAACTATTCATATGTAGTTCGAAACCTAATAACTCCAAAGTTACAAGCTAAAACTTCGAGATGACCAGTACTAAAACATTCAAACTAAATGTTGTTACATTCTAAAAAAAATATTTTATTAAATCCATTATTTTTATAAAAATTAAAGATTGTTCTTTCGTTGAAGTAGTCTTTTCATTTTTCCATAGGTATTCAATTGTTCACAAAATAATATTCGTTTGGATAGAATATTTCATAAAGTTAGTAAAACAAATTGCAATAAAATCATATTACTATTATCTAAATATTATATTTTCGGGTAGAGTTTTGGAGGTCATTTGTGTTTTTACACATTTGAAATCATCGATCAATCATTGTTAGACCAACATTAGAAATTTGGAAGCACTGGACGGCCGTTTCGTCCTGGTATGGGATTCATCAGCAGTGAGCATCCACGAGTTCTGCACCTCGCAGGATTCGAAACCTGGACCTTCGGTGTTGTGCGCGAATGCCTAACCATCGGACCACTGGGCCGTCATCCAACGGTGTTAATGTCTAACTCTGATTGATCTACGGATTTTTGCGCGACCTGACCCATTTGTCTTTCTCCGCCAGTAGAACCTTAGGGGCTACTGCCGGTCCCAAGCCCGGATAAAGGAGGAGGGTTGGACATGGGGTTGGCGGCCCCATTCCGTTGAAATCTAACTTGCCAAAAAAACGCTAACCAGAAAAAATAATTCAAACCATTTTAACTCTGCCCTGGGAGTTGGAAGAAGAATTATGACGTCTCGTGATGAAAGCCGAGTTCCCTCGGAAGTCACGGGGCCGATGCCTCTTCTGACAACCAGAGCAACCATTTTTTTAGGTACATGGAACGTTCGTACATTGTGGGAGACTGGAAGACTATTTCAAGTTGCTGCAGAAATGAAAAGATACAACCTCGAGGTGCTTGGAATCAGTGAAACACATTGGACACAGGTAGGACAACTGAGACTTGCTTCAGGGGAACTGCTGTTATACTCTGGTCATGAAGAGGAAAACGCTTCACATACACAAGGAGTTGCATTGATGCTGTCCAAACATGCACAAAAGGCACTGATAGGATGGGAATCTCATGGACCCAGGATCATTAAAGCATCCTTCAAAACAAAGAAAGAGGACATTACAATGAACGTCATCCAATGTTATGCACCTACCAATGACTACAATGACGACGTTAAAGATCAATTCTACGAAAGGCTGCAGTCAGTCGTCGATAAATGTTCACCAAAGGATTTGACGATTCTTATGGGAGACCTGAATGCCAAGGTTGGAATGGACAACACTGGATATGAAGACATCATGGGACGACATGGACTGGGAGAAAGAAACGAAAACGGTGAGAGATTTGCAAACCTATGTGCCTTCAACAAACTGGTCATCGGTGGCACAATATTCCCGCACAAACGCATTCACAAAGCCACATGGATTTCACCGGACCACACTACTCAAAACCAAATTGACCATATCTGTATCAACAAAAAGTTCAGAAGGACCATGGAGGATGTGAGAACCAAGAGAGGAGCTGATATAGCTTCAGATCACCACTTGCTGATCGCCAAAATGAGATTGAAGCTAAAGAAGCACTGGACAACGGGGCAGACAACATCACAGAAGTTTAATACGGCCTTTCTTCGGGATACCGTAAAACTCAACGAATTCAAGATAGCCCTCACCAATAGGTTCCAGGCCTTTCAGGATCTACTCAATGGAGAGGAAGCAACATTGGAGAACAATTGGAAAGGGATTAAGGAGGCAATCACTTCAACATGTCAGGAGGTCCTTGGTCGCAAGAAGCACCATCACAAGGAATGGATCTCTGTTGGTACTCTTGAAAAAATTCAAGAAAGGAGGAACAAGAAGGCAGCTATCAATGTCTGCCGAACAAGAGCAGAGAAAGTTAAGGCGCAAGCCGAGTATACAGAAGCAAACAGGGAAGTGAAGAAGAGCATCAGAGCTGACAAACGAAAATATGTGGATTATCTAGCAATGACGGCGGAAAAGGCTGCAAGAGAAGGAAACTTGAGACAATTGTACGAAACTACAAAGAAGCTCGCCGGAAACTATCGTAAACCAGAACGACCAGTGAAAAGCAAGGAAGGTAAAATAATCAGCAACACTGACGAACAGCGAAATAGGTGGGTGGAGCACTTTAAGGAACTATTGAATCGACCAGCTCCACTGAACCCACCCAACATCGAAGCAGCATCCACGGACCTCCCAATTAATATTGGCGCACCTACGATTGAGGAGATCAGTATAGCCATCAGACAAATCAAGAGCGGCAAAGCAGCAGGACCAGACAACATTCCAGCAGAGGCAATGAAAGCAGATGTGGAAGTAACTGCGAAAATATTTCACATTCTCTTCAAGAAGATTTGGGATGAGGAACAAGTACCATCAGATTGGAAAGAAGGATACCTGATCAAAATACCAAAGAAAGGCGACCTCAGCAAGTGTGAGAACTACAGAGGCATCACTCTTCTTTCAATACCAGGCAAAGTCTTCAACAGAGTATTGTTAAACAGAATGAAGGACTTCGTAGACGCCCAACTTCGAGATCAACAGGCTGGATTTCGTAAGGATCGATCGTGTACTGACCAAATTGCTACATTACGGATCATTGTGGAACAATCAATTGAATGGAACTCACCACTCTACATCAACTTCATCGACTACGAGAAAGCATTCGATAGCGTGGATAGGAAAACACTGTGGAGGCTTCTTCGACACTACGGTGTGCCTGAGAAAATTGTCAACATCATACGGAATTCTTATGATGGATTCAACTGCAAAATCGTACACGGAGGTCAGCTGACAGACTCTTTTGAGGTGAAGACCGGTGTCAGGCAAGGTTGCTTACTCTCACCCTTTCTCTTTCTCCTGGTCATCGACTGGATTATGAAGACGTCAACATCTGGAGGGAATCACGGTATCAACTGGACAGTTAGGACGCAGCTGGACGATCTGGACTTCGCAGATGATCTGGCTCTTCTATCGCACACTCAACAACAAATGCAAGAGAAGACGACGAGTGTAGCAGCAGCCTCTGCAGAAGTAGGTCTCAACATACATAAAGGAAAAAGCAAAATTCTCCGATGCAACACAACATGCACCAACCGAATCACGCTTGATGGAGATGCCTTGGAGGACGTTAACACCTTCACATATCTTGGCAGCATCATCGACGAGAAAGGTGGATCGGACGCAGATGTGAGGGCGCGGATTGGCAAAGCAAGGGCTGCATTTCTACAGTTGAAAAATATCTGGAACTCCAAACAACTTTCAAACAAAACCAAAATCAGGATTTTCAATACAAATGTCAAGACAGTTCTACTGTATGGAGCGGAAACATGGAGAACTACGAAAGCCATCATTCAGAAGATACAAGTGTTTATTAACAGCTGTCTACGCAAAATACTTCGTATTCGTTGGCCAGACACCATCAGCAACAACGAACTGTGGGAGAGAACAAGTCAGATTCCAATGGAGGAGGAAATCAGGAAGAAGCGGTGGAAGTGGATAGGACATACACTACGAAAAGCACCCAACTGCGTCACTAGACAAGCCCTCACATGGAACCCTCAGGGCAAAAGGAAAAGAGGAAGGCCAAGGAACACACTACGCCGAGAAATAGAGAAAGATATGAGGGGAATGAACAAACATTGGACAGAACTGGAAAGGGAAGCCCAGGACAGAGTTGGTTGGAGAAAACTGGTGGGCGGCCTAAGCTCCATTGGGGGTAACAGGCGAAAGTAAGTAAGTACCCATTTGTCTTTGGTAGTTACTGCCTACACCCGACAGGGTTGAACTCCATTAGTCACTTCTTCTCAACTAGAAACTCTGAGAATTTCTCATACCAGGGACGAAACGGACGTCCAGTGCTTCCAGGTTTCTAATGTTGGTCTAACAATGATTGATTGATGATTTTAAATATTATATACGAAAAAAAACTTTCGTCGATTGAAATTTAAGTAATTCTAAAATTTTTGTCTACAAATCTTATCTGAACGTCTTTAGGTTACTGATCGAATCAAAATCCAACCACTCTAACTTTCATCATGAAAAAAGTTAAACAGTAAATTCATAGAAATCTTGCCGCCTGACTGTGAAGTTGAGTACCTAAGTTTTTTTTATAATAATTAGGGTTTAGAAAAAACATTCTGTATACTAGACTAAGCTGTTCTTCATAGTTTCTTTTCCCGAGTATATATTTTCTTAATGTAAAATATCTACCCACCAACCAGTAAACAAATATGTGTAACTCAAGTTATACAGAACTTTGACAAGGTCGATTTATTGATGTCTGATAAATACTGATTTTACATGGAAAAAAGACAGTTTGAATATCACCAGACTATAGAAATTTTGGGATTCATATAACCTCAATCTATGTGGTGGTGTTTCGTTCTCTGAGCTGGTTGTTCTGGTTGTGGAGCTTTCATTGTTCTTCTGAACAACATCATCAGCACGAACTTCAGATAGAAGTGAAGCATTAGAATCTCTCCACGTTTGACCTGTAGCTTGTTCTGCTAACCTCGATCTTGATTGGTCGAGGTTAGCAGAACAAGCTACAGGTCAAACGTGGAGAGATTCTAATGCTTCACTTCTATCTGAAGTTCGTGCTGATGATGTTGTTCAGAAGAACAATGAAAGCTCCACAACCAGAACAACCAGCTCAGAGAACGAAACACCACCACAATCATCCACCTGAGCTACAAATTTTCTCCACCATCTCAACCTCAATCTATGTTTATATCAATGAATAAAATCTTTTACTTGTGTTATATGCTCACTACAAAGATCTAATAGGTCATATTCTATTTATTATTCTTTTTTCCGTAATTTAAACAACGATATTATATCTCAAATTCAACTAGTAAATACAACTGCTGCTCTAAAACCAGTTCAACGAACCATTAATCTTTACGGATCTGTTGTCTGTTCTATAAGTTACCTGAGATTTATTGAATAAGTTGGACAACAATTACTTGACGATCAGAAGTGTCGAGTAAGCATTTTGAATGCAAAAACGGAACTTGGTTAAGGATGGTTAAACCAAAATATAGAAGATTGACTAAGCAATCAATTAGTTAGTAGTAATTTAAATCACAATTAAGCTTGCGAATTGATAGGCTCGAAACTATTACGAGTTCACCTATCTCGGTAAAAGGAGCGCAGATCGATGATGCAGTAACACGATAGACTATTCTGATCCGATTGTCCCAGGCCCCGCTAACTAAATCACAAAGTCTTGATAAAGCGTGGAGGATGTATTCTACAGGCACCCAGAAAATTCGAAGTTCTTCAGCTTATTTATAAAATGATAGCTACACCCTCGGCAGAACCACAAAATAGCGTACTAAAGTAATCCATCGACCAATAACATTCAAGGATGTTTCGAGTGGGAAATGTAAGCTGAAGGTCAACTAAGCGTCTTGTGCGCGAAAACATAAAAAATTCAAAATTTCACAAATAAATTACAAAATGACGACCTTTTTCAAGTGAATTCTGGGGATCTAACGTCGCCAACACAAATATACCTGTAATGTCTTGGGGTAATAAAAGTAGTTTATAGACTGCAAATTAATCTCTTTCCTACATATTTTACAATCTTCAAATGAAGGTGTCAAATCCATAATACAGTTTAAGTTTCGTCAAATATTTCAAATAGGCTTCAGCGTTAACTGTATGAAAGCACAAAACTAATTAATAACCAGTGTATATCAAGCCAACAATTGATATTATCTGAATAATAACGACAATATAGATCGCAGTCAGTAGACATGTGCCTATTAAAAACATTGATGACTGTACCAATATTGATGTGATTGATGTGAGAAAAATAAAATCAAAATGAAGATTTGTTAGACACATCATAAATAGATTAAAAATTATGTTCTGTTGTACAAGTTTTTATTGGTTTCATTCACATGAATTAACAGTTGGATATCTAATAAACTATACTGAATAATTATTATTAAAATCTTAAGAGCTTACCGTGTGTGATTAGAGTTTTCAATGTTCACAATATTGAAACAGTACAATCAGTAAATAGAACTGATATTCTAGGTTATAAGATTGCTCCCTCCTAACGCATACTTCTGAAGTGAAGGAGAACACAGGTGGGGCAACCGAATTATATTTAACGAAAATTACAGCGTTACTCAGTAAAATCGGAAAACCATATCGTAAATCATTCATTTGCAAAATATCAGTTCATCATATCGAACTGGACTGTTCCTGTTGCAAAACATCAATCCATTGTCACTATTCATGCGTTTCATACAAATTCCATTGTTTTCCCACTCTTCCTTTCTTCTTGATGTTCCCCCATCTTCTGCTGCCAGACATTAAGTTGATACTCACGTCATATACTACTTATAAGTAGCTCACACCACACTTCATCTAATTCGTTAGCCATCTGCTGATTTCTATGTAAAACTGTTTGATTTACGTGTGAATTGAGAAATGTTTTTTTAAAACGTCAACCTTATTGAACTCTTTAATATGTTTTTTTCTATTCATTAAAGGTTCAAAATTGTGCATTCTCTTTAACAAGCTATCCAAATTTAGCAACAATGGTTTTATTTTGTCAAAAAGTTTATGATTGGTTAGCATTAGATGAATATCATATCATCCTGTTTCATGCTGAAGGTGAACAAGCGAAAATTCGTTTAATGCTATTTGCTCTTGCATTGGATTCATTCTATGGATCAATTAACAAGTAAGTTATTGTTACGCCTGCACGTAAACACATCAACTTGATATAATTGAACTATTACGAGTTTACCTGAGTCGGAAAACGAGAGCGAGGATCGAGGTTCCGGCGACACGACATACTACTCAAATCCGATTATCCCAAACCCCCATATTTAGTTAAATAAGAAGACGTGATATGAAGTAGAACCTGTATTCAGACAATACGTATTTATTTATTTTGGTCGAACATGAAACAGCATCGAAGCCTGTGACATTGACAGTTAAGACGACCAATAGGAAGCAACATTTGAAGTGACATTGATAGTCAGGACAACCAATAAGAAACACATTGGAGTATGTGACATTGATATCTAGGACGACCATAAAATTGACCAGTAAAAATTAACCAATAGGAATTGACCAATAATTCTCTTAGGATATTGGATGAATATCCTAACAGTTATGTTTTTCCATTTGAGACTGTCTTTTAAACTATATATTCAATAATGTGCTTTTTTGAAGAAGCGAATCAGTTTACGATACGTCACGACACGTGACTCAAATTGTTAAACACATCTCCCAGTTTCATAGTATTCAACTTCTTTGTTAGGTATAAATGCATGAATTACAAATGAAATGGGAACTCTTCTGAATGTTTAAACATTTGAATAAGACTTATGTTTAAATCCTTTTTTTTGTAAAGTTGTGCATGAAAATCTAAGCAAACACAAAGATCTGTTTGTGTGATGAGATCATATTTTCGGGAAATTTCATGATTTCAAACATCAGAATGTGATGTAATGCTTGCTACACGAATGAAGTAATTCTTATATATTTATTTTTAAACAGAGATATCCTTTGTAGTTTTGAAAACAAAGTTGAAGAAAGTGAAAAATTTGTCAAATAAATATAATTTCAATATTTGTAATTACTTATGTGTATTAGTACATGTCAAGAAATACTCTGAGCAAAAATCGTTAAAACTCCTAAAGATGTAAATTCACTAAAAAAATTACACTATTAAACTGTTATTTGAAATGTTTACCACAAAACACAGAATTTATTTATATTAATTAAAAATGAACTACAGAAGAAAAGATTAAATTAGAACAAAATGATTGACTTAAATGTTGTTAAACTCGTCTCTAGGCATGCTTAAAACTATTACGGGTTCATCCTAGTCGAATAACGAGAAGCAAACAATGAACCAGCGTCCAAGTAGGCTACTATAGTCCCTTGACCCAAATGTACCAGCAAGAAGTCTTGATATAGCGTAGGAAGTGTATTCTACAAACACCCAGCTAGCTCACATTGAATCCAAGCACACAAATCGCGTTTATTTATACACTATGGAGACGTCCTTGGGAGAGTCACAAAAATAACACACTAAAATGACGCAGTAACCAATCACAGCCAAGAATTATCCTGGTAGGAAATGTGATCTCAAGGTCAACTGATCAGCTCACGAATAAAATCTAAAATAAAGACATTTATCAAGCGAGTTCTGGAGATCTAACATCCCCCAACATATGTTTTATGTAACGGATAAAAAAAACATTAGACTCTGCATTTTCGTGTCGATATCATAATGAGAGATTTGACAACTGAGAAATACACTTTCTGATGTAATATCTAAGAGTATTTTGCTGATTGTTTTAAATTTCAGTGTAATTTTACTGTATTCATCGAATTGTTAGGTATCAGATCATTTATTGTTGAGAAAATAGTTTGGACTATTCTCATCACACAATTAGCATACATGTTTATGTCGTTCTGAAAAGTCGATTTTGTATTTCAAAACTAGTTTGCCATCATTAGCCAAAGAAACATTAAAAATCACAGAATAATCAAAGCCTGGTATATCACAATTCTCAAATTCCTAAAATGTATACGCTCTTGATTTAGTTATCATTATACCGAGTTTCGCTAAAGGTTATTAGGTCTCCTAACCACCGACTGCCTCGACGAGCTATGTTTTGTGATGTAGGAGTAGGTTGGAAGAAAATTAGGGGCGAGAGGACCAAAACATGGCACAAATCCATGAAGTCACTGACAAGTGGACTGAGTCATGTTGGTATATGTAGACTACCTGGTTGGGGTCCACGAGAAGAAAGTCATCAATGGTTAGAGACCTTGAATGACATGGCTCAAAATCGTTTGCAATGGCGCAGGTGCATCCACTCTTTGAGCTCTCTCAAATCCTAATCTTCTGGAATCGTCAGCATATCTACCTTTGTCTTTGTAACCTTATCTCACTGAATTATATTTCTTGAATAATATCTTAAACCCTAGTCTTCTTTATTAACATTAATACCTCTACTATGTTTATCACCATGGGATTTGATTTGACATTTGCGTCTCTGTGCTAATGTGATGGTATAGCAACATGAACTTATGTACATACGTACGAAGTTCTGCGTTGCAACTGACTGACTGACTGATTAGGTCTCTTAAGTTAACTGACTTTAGAACATCAACCAATCACATCCATATCAGTGTTCCAAACTATTGAATGCGTCAAGATTTTTCAGGTTAATGAGTTTACACTGTTTTGAGTCCTGCATCCATAGTAACTAGTTGTAAGTTTACTCAGATGATCATTGGTCTTTCAAGGCTGTTCATGCAGCGTTTGTGATAAACAAAATTTTTCCCGTGTTATGTCAGTTTTATCTAGTTTCTTCTAAACAGTTTATGACATAACATGACATTCATCAATGTTCTTCGATAACTAATGGCGTCAATTAATTCAGCATGTTTATAAACGAAGATGATGATCAATAATGTTGGTTCTAAAAGTGTTGGTTATTAATTATATTTGAATAAATACAACATGCTTCTTAATGCATAAAAATAAATTTCACTCCTTACAAATTTTATATTCATTTAGATATCGGAATGAAAAAGCCAATTCTCTACGACGTTATATTACATCACATTCAAACGGATTCTCTCAGGTTCCGGTTGGCTGGATGAGGTTTGTTACATTTTTATTATGAAATAGTTTTTAAATCCATTAGGAAAGTTTCCACATACTTATATTTATTTCTTTTCGTTTTTTATTATTGCTACTAGTAAAGATGCTAGTAGTAATATATGTTTTTTTAAAATATTTATTGCTGAAGGTTCCCAGACTGACATATAATCGAAGGTTTTTATTTTCAATAAATTCTCTTGAAGTCCATGGACTTCAATTTTGAATTATTCATCGAAAGATGACCAGGTTTAGGAAAAAATACATCGTTTAAAATAAGGCATGTAAATTTACGTTTGTTCACAATATCAATCGTTAATGTTAGGATGACTGATATGACGTACTTGCTTACATAAGTTTAAACGTCAAATGAATGATCAGAGTAAATATGATTAATATTGGGCGATGGAGCTGACGATTTGATTGATTTACATTTTACTCGATAAACAATCAAACAGTCCAGTAACACAGTATATTTTACTGCCAATATGTGGACGATATGTTCATCCTATGCAAAGACGATGCCGACCACATAAAGACATTCAAGAGATTTGATGAAGTTCCCCTCGCCATCAAATTCACCTGTGAAAAAGAAAATGGAGGTAGAAAAGTCTTTCTAGATTTTCAGCTAACGAAAAGCGTAGATAGGTTAATGAGATGAAACGTGAAAAAGAAAACTACTTTGACAGGCTACAATGCAATATTTTTAGTTTTGTTCCCCTGATTCAGACACTTCAATAAAGAATCAGAAATAGGTGTTCCCTGGATGCGGTTTTAGAAAAACCAAATACAATTCGTACTAATACTCTGAAAAAAATGAGAATCCTGAGGAATTCATAACTAAATATTCAGCTATCAATAAATAACATAAGAAAGTCCTAATTGTGAACAAGAAGATTATATATATATGCCCAAATTATAGAGGTGATGCACTCAATGAAATACTAATACTAAAGTTGCACAGAACAATTCAAAGAACCTTTACTGTAGATAAACTACAATCAATATCTTCAACACATTTGATAGTCACTGCGAAATCGGAAGATAAATTCCATAACCAAACCCTCTTTTCCTATCTATCATTTCAAGTGCTTGTGCGGGGCAGGTTACATCGTCAGATGTTCTAGGAATTTGTATTTTCATAATTGCTAGCTCCTCTCACCTACCGAAGACAATGTGTAAGGTTGAGTAATATCTCGGATTGGTTAAAGTTTGACATTAACACCTTTGGATTTCGGCTCAATAATCAGGAGGTTAAGTGTCCAATCACTTGACTGAAGTTCCTGAATTCAATTTCTGCCTGTTGGTTCATGGACTATGAGTCCCATACTGGCAAAACAAAGGTCATCCAGTGCTTCCAAGTTCCCGATGAAGGTCTAACAACGATCATTTCATTCCTGAGAATGTTTTGAACAACTTATTCAGCATCCTTGCTTATTCACTAATTCGTACGTAATTCATATCATTCTGTATATTACATTATCATTATCTCGATCTCACCTGATGTGAACTAATGCATATCGGTCATCTCAACATTAACGATTGATATTGGTAACAATCGTAAATTTACATACCTAATATTATTGAATAATGTATTTTTCCTTAAACCTGACCACTTTTTTCATGATTAATTTGAATATGTCATCCAGGAACTTGAGGAAAATTCATTAAAAATAATATTCTTTGTTCATATATTTATGTTTCGTATCACAATGCAGTATCTGATCATCTGAACTTTAACTGTTAAAAAAATTTCCATTACAAGGGTTGTGAAGATTGTTAAGTTACACATTTTTTGAAACCATGAATCGATCAATGTTAGACCACCATTAGAAACCTGGAAGCACTGAAAAACGGCCGTTTAGTCCTGGTATGGAACTCCTCAGCAGTGCGCATCCACGACTCCTGCAGCCTGCAGGATTCGAACCCAAGACCTTCGGTATTGTGCGCGAACGCCCTAACCGTTAGACCACTGAGCCTGTATCTAACGGTTTTAATATCTAACTTGATCAAATTCACGGAGTTGCGCAACCTCATACACAGCGGGGTGCAGGAGTCGTGGATACGCCCTGCTGAGGAGTTCCATACCAGGACGAAACGGCCGTCTTTCATTGCATCCAAGTTTCTTATGGTGGTCTAACATTGATCGATTCATGGTTTCAAAAAAAAATTTCCATCTAAAAAACTTCATAAACTGTTGCTCAATGACTGACTCTCTGTTAGTGATTTTACTACTTTATAAATCTTTGTGAATTAAAAAGAATCACGGATAATTCATAAGAGATTATATGATGTTCGTATTATATTTAGACGATTAGACAATCTCTTTGTGTAATGTGAATTATTTAGACTTTTTATGGCGTAAAGTCTTTTACTTTTCTAATAATTAATTATCAGATAATATTTTTGTTCATTTGTAGGCTTGTTAGAATAAATTCAAGTCAATAAACTTGACTGAAAGCACTATATACGTAGTATCACAGTGAGAACTCATAAACATTAAAAATCTATACCATCTTTGAAACCGATTCATTATTGAACTATATATAGTTAAATGTTATGTCGGTTAGATTTTTAAATCCTTTAATGTCTGTACTGCCGCCAGCTGATCACCAGAATTCAACAAGCAATTCGGAACTAGACAAACATAATATTGACTATTATTCGTTAGTCCATCGTTTTTAGTAATAAGAAATTAGCAACGATCTGAATAGCTCATTGTCAACTTCACAGACTGTCCGTTTAAGTGAAGTGAGTTCGAGTTTGCATAGAGAGATTATCAGTTTCTTCAAGGTTTTTTTGTATGTCTTACTACTAATGATTGCCAACTTATACGAAACTTGGATTCAGGGTGATCCTTTAAACTACCGACAAAACATCTAACAACTCACACATTTGCACTAGCTGAATGAAATACATAAAATACATAAAAGGTTCCGAAAATGCCTAATGGTTATGCTAAATGTGTTTATGATACGCATTTTAATTTTTCAATCTTAAATTGTCAAGTTCATTCGATGGTAAATTTGTCTTTTGATCACTTAATGAATCAGTCATAATTAATCAAAATATTGAACACTAAGTAACGCTAAGTAACAGTTGCCTGTCGAAATATCAATAATACTCTGTCATATAAATGGACAAAGATTTGCTTCATAATATATACACAAATTTAAATATCGTCAACTAATGAGTTTCAATTAACTTATGAAAAGCAATTACCCGAACTATAACCAAACCTACGTTATTGAAGTATATTGATGACTACATTCCACTATTCCATGACTTTTAGAAAGCTTACATATATGTAATATAAACAAAAAGGATAAGTACTGCATTCCAATGTCCGATTTTGTAAACTGACGAATCATCCAACCTACTCATCAACTTTGCTATATTTTTCATGAATTATAGAAAACTTCATTTTGTTAATGAGCTATTCAGATTCCATACTACTTAATCATATATAAGTAGATTGGTAGTTATGCATAAAAAGTGTGTGAATGTACAACAGCTGTGACATTTTATGCTAACAATAATAAAAACTGAATAGCAGAGTAAATTACAAAAAAATATTACATGTAAAATGGAATGTAGTGAAAAATATCATTGGTACATATATTTATATTTAGAAATGAAATGAATTAGTTTATCCTCCGTAATAAAAAGAAAATTGTGACACAAAACGAGACTTTTATATAAATTGATTTTCATTTTGACATGTTCATTAATCAATGAATGAATCCTAAAAAGAAAAACATTCATTTTTACATTTTAAATGGTAATGACAGAAAAAAATAAGGAAGTATACAGTTAGCATAATCTGATTTTAGATTATTAGCTTAAAATGAAACAAATTTCAACTGTAATGACATCCATATCTGAAATGATAAATTGTATAATTTTTTAAAAAAAATTTCAGGAAATTGAAATTTAAAACAAGTACAGCAAGCATGCACAAAATACTGTTTGAAAAACTCTTATCCAAACTGATTAGTGATATTAGCTACGTGGACTAGGTCTTTCGTCCTTTTCTGTCATCGACGGCCAACTGCTAAATCTGTGTGGCTGTCATTGTTCTTTATGTATTGCCTCTATTATTTAGCCTGCAGTATTGATGCTCTTAAATAATAATCGGGACTTGCTGAAATTCTTCAATTTTACTGTCTATACCGGTAAATAAGGATCACTTTAATTCTCATGATGTAAAACGATAACAGGAAGGGCTGATACAATAAAGATTTACTGACCTCCTAAAAATAAGTTCCAAAATAACATTATCGGAATTAAAGTACAATTTTTCCGCAATAAAATTAGAGATAATCTAAAAATACACTTGTATTGATACATGAAATTGAATCAAAGTTCACACATCATATCGAACAAAGATTTCAATGAACTGATACAAAGTATACTATTTTTGAAACCATGAATCGATCAATGTTAGACCACCATTAGAAACCTGGAAGCACTGAAAGACGGCCGTTTCGTCCTGGTATGGAAATTCTCAGCAGTGCGCATCCACGACTCCTGGAACCTGCAGGATTCGAACCCAAGACCTTCGGTATTGTGCGCGAACGCCCTAATCGTTAGACCACTGAGCCGCTTTCTAACGGTGTTAATGTCTAACTTGATCAACTTCACGGAGTTGTGCAACCTCATACACAGTCTTCGTTAGACACTGCCTACACCCGAACAGGTTGAACTTCACTGGTCACGTCTTCCCATTAGAACTCGGAGAAGATTCCTCACGAAGCTGGTCACTAGTGAGCACATGTAATCTGCGTTACGGGTTTGTGAAGATTGTTAAGTTATAAATTTTTGAAACCATGAATCGATCAATGTTAGACCACCACCAAATATACTAATCTAAACAGAGTGTTACACTGAGTCATACATCAAATGAAAGCTTAAGGTTTACAAAATAAGATCGAAAAAAAATCAATACAAGTATTAGAATTGAGTATGAAATTTTGTTCCCAAAATAAGCTTCGGTTGTTTGTCACTTTCTCTTTGTTTCCCCCTATGTATAACACTAATTCAGATAGTTATAGTTAATACATCATTGAGTATTAATCAGTTACACACTTCTGAAAAAATCCTACAAGCAAGTCATTAAATGGTTTGTTTATGGCGCGATGCATTTAGTTTGATGTAAGATGATTGGAATTTGTTACTTAACAATTACAAATATATTTCAGTAGATGAACTGATTAGGTTAGTCGCTGGACTGTAACTGTGCATTAGGAATCTAACAGGTATAATTTTATATCGAATTCGTAATAAATGGAATAATTGAAAAACCTATATTTCTTGATTATCATACTGAGGGAACAAGATTTGTGGTGTTTTCAGAATAATATATTACGTACTGATACTTTTTTGATTTTATGTTGTGGATTACTTCTTATTCTTCGTTAAACTCTCATTCACACACTGTACTGAAGGAGAACACAGGTGGGGCAACCGATTTGTATTTATCGAAAATTACAGAGTTACTCAGTAAAATAGAAAAACCATATCGTAAATCGTCATTTTGTAAAATATCAGTCCATCATATCGAACTGGACTGTTCCTGTTGCGAAACATCAATCCATTGTCACTATTTATGCGTTTCATACAAGCTCCATTGTGTTCTAACTCTTCCTTTCTTGATCTTCCCCCATCTTCTGCTGCCAGACATTACGTTGACACTCACGTCGTATACTACTTAGAAGTAGCTCGCACCACAACACTAAAGTACATTTAACCGACTTCTTTTATTCTCTTGGTACATAACTAATGAGAATAAACTGAAAAAAGAATTTAAGATCTGGTTTAAAACTGAATAATAATAAACTGGCTTAAACACTGAAGCCAAATTAGGGTTTCTTTATCCATTGCTTACTTAAACCATAAAAATGTCAGTAAACCAAAAAGCGACAATAGTAATAATCGTAACAGAATAACATATAAATTAATTTATTTGATTCAGCTATTTTTTAACCCTGAACCAAAACTATCGATAATTTGAATTTGTGTTCAAAATTGGAGAGAACATGAAAGTAGATTAAGCAAAGTCAGTCGGTTAGAATACATATATATTAAACATATCGTCAACTCTTCACACAGAAAAAGTATATCAAAAGTGCGTAAATGTCTGTTTTTTAGACTGAACAATTAAAAACAAAGTATTTTGATTTGTTTGTCTAACCTTTATAAATATTCTCAAATAATACCTTGATCATTATTCATTTTAGCCGAATGTTCATTTCGTAGGTTTGATTATTACCTCTACTGCTATGGTTTATAGTGATTCATTTAAATATTCTTATAGGATTTAGCTACATGCATAAGTTAGCGAAATTGCTATAACATTTGAATTTGAAGTTATTAGGTGAGCTTGTATACTAAATATTGAAATATTGGATAACTGATTATCATTAGCTGTTGAAAACACAATAGTTGTTATTATTATGTTGTTAGGTTCGTCACTAGGTATGCTTGAAGCTATTACGAGTTCACCTTAGACATAAACGCGAACGAGACAATGAACCAGCGTCCAGGTAGGCTACCTTGTATCCCAAGTTGTAAAACAGAAGTCTTGATAAGCGTAGAAAGTATATTCTACAAACACCCAGCAAGCAAAATACAATCAAGCACACAACTCTCGTTTATCCATACATCATGGAAACGTCCTTTGGATAGTCACGAAAATCGCACACTAAAATACACAGCAGCTAATCACAGCCATGGATTTTCGTGGTGGGAAATGGAATCTCAAGATCAACTGATCAGCCCATGCAGTCAAACGTGAAATTCAAAATGATGCATTTATCAAGCGAGTTCTGGGGATCTAACATCCCTAACATTAAGTATTCGCGTTTTCTGGTGCTGTCATTAACTATCATTATAATTTCAGGGGTTGCATGGAAATCAGTTCAAACATTTAACTTTTATTCGCCTTAGGTTGATTCTGGTTTAGATACCGTAAAAAACAATGGAATCATAAACGGCTGTTTCGTACTTGGGTAGGACTTAGCTTTCTCCTTCCTCGCATCCTACCTAAGACCAAGCCTAGGACCATAAGATTGCTCCACAAACGCGCAGACATTATCACCAATGGGTCAACATAAGTTCGATGAGTACAAGAATTCAAAATAAGTAGGGAAACAAATCTCAAAATAACATCTCAAATAAGACTGGGGTATCACGATTATGGTAGAATAAGTTCTCAATATGTGTTGCGATGTGATACATCTAATGCCTGACTTTAATACAGTCAAAAATACCTCTTGGTTTCTAATAATATAGTTAGGAGTATTACCATTATGTTACTATTTTCATCAATGTCATCATGATTACTTCAAAATGATATTTTGGCCATTATTGTCAGAGTTGCCATTTTGTCTATCACAGTCATAAAAATTCTTATGGGCCACCTGTGATCGATCTCATCATCGTCATTCTCTCTCTCACTCTTGTTTACTTCATTCCTTTATAAATCCAACCCCTATAAATATCGGAAGTAGTTATAGATGCTTTTAGTAGCGAAATAAAGTATTTTATGCTTATTACAATTAGAATTACACTGCTGAGGAATCCCATATTAGGAAGAAATGCCTATCCAATGTTTCCAGATTTTCAATAGTCGCCTGACTTATATCAGTTGATGATTTCAACGAAATTTAGGAACTTACACGACACTGTGTTGAAAAAATTATAGTTTTTTAAGAACTGTACTTGTTATTCTTGATTGAAAAAGTAAAACACGATTGTCATCCAACTTGATAAATAAATTTGATTAGAATATTTTGATTCAACACAAAATGCCCATTATCCACGTTTTACCGACCAAACTAATCAACCTTTCAGTAATTTAAATATATAACTTATTCAATAAAATCCCGACTTGAAATAACATCTTTCTTTTCTTGCCTTTTATCCTAAGATATACCATTATTTTACCGTTATAATCAATCCTTTTTCTTTTCGGTAATTTTAGTCACTTTCATTTGCATCCAATAGTCCATATGTGTTTACCCGACCTAGTTAGTTAGTTAGTTAGTTAGTTAACTGCATAAATGATTCTTACCATTTTTACCACCTTCAATACTTTTCTATAATATCTTTCCTTAGTTTTCGATCGATAATTAAACAGACTGTCAACAGAATTTGCTATTTTTTTTTTTCATCTTTATTTCACAATAATTATTTCAATCTGTTCACAATTGAAGCGTAACCATTATCTCATCTATAATGAATATTTAACTATGTTTTATTTATTACAATGATTGTCTACTTATTATTTTAAAATGAAATCAACTATTCATTAATCATTGAGATAGCATCATATGATTAACTTGGTCAATAGTTATTTGTATTTTTATGTGTACTTTACTTATATGTAAATCTATATAGATTTCACGTATTTCCTCCTATTGTATACTTTGAAATTGTTGCATTTTTATTCATATATATTTAATTAGATATGCCGGTTATATGCAATTGTTTTCACCAATTCATAGTTTAACTATTCTACGTGCAGCATTACATATTTATCAAGTGCATTTATGCAACTTCCCGGTATTTGAAATGAATCAATTAAGAATTTATTTTAAATTTTATACTGGTTCACCTCCTGTACATATGTATACAACAAATATTTAGTAAGTTTTTTTAATTATCATAAAAACAAATACGAAATGTGATGCAATAATTATTGTCTATTCTCTAATGTAATAATAGTTTGAGTTTTAAAGTTATTTATCAACAAAGACTGAAATTATTTTAAAAAAACTTTAGATCACTGAACAAGTACTAAAGAAGATGTGTTTTCTTTCAGTGGATGTAATGTTCGTCACTAGGTACGCTTGAAGCTATTACGAGTTCACCTTAGACGATAAAACGCAAAGGAGACAGTTACCAGCGTCCAGGTAGGCTACCTTGAATCCCAAGATGTAAAACAGAAGTCTTGATAAGCGTAGAAAGTATATTTTACAAACACCCAGCAAGCACAATACAATCAAGCACACAACTCTCGTTTATTCATACATCAGAGAAACGTCCTTTGGACAGTCACGAAAATAGCACACTAGAATACACAGCAGGCAATCACAGCCAAGAATTCTCCTGGTGGGAAATGAAATCTCAAGGTCAACTGATGAGCCCATACTGGCAAACGTGAAATACAAAATGAGGCATTTATCAAGCGAGTTCTGAGGATCTAGCATACCCAACAGTGGAATATATCACTTTTTAAATGTACTTATATGATACCCTTGTATAAAAATCAATATTTTTTAACTAGTGAATAGTTAGGATACTATTTTTTCAAAGGTAGAGTTGTACAATAGTCTATCAAATCAGCTTATAAAATATACAGCCAAATGAATGTTCACTCCTTCAAATCCTGTTTTGACCTTTATAAGATCTTGAAGATTCGGCGTTTGATCTTATATGTAATTATGAGTGTACACTATCAATAAATTGTAAACTAAGAAGTAGCTATTCAGTACCTTATCACTCTTTATAATGTTTCAACTGTTATCATAACAATAGACTGATCCTGAGATCAAATTATATGTACAGTACTATAGGTTTATAATTTATCAGGACATTAGAATTCTAATAATCTATTACTACTGACATCATGATTGATTGATTGATTGATTGATTGATTGGTTCGCCTGTCAACCCCCATGGAGCATAGTTCTTGTTCCTGATGGTCTCTTGCCAACGGATCCAAAGTATTTTGTCTAGACAACTGTCAATGAATGTTTGAATCTTCTGGATGATGGCTTTGGTGGTTCTCCAAGTGTCCGCTCCATATTTGCATTGAAAATTCTAATTTTGGTGTTTGTTGACAGTTGTTTTGAGTTCTGGATGTTGTTCACTTGTAGAAATGAAGCCCTTGCTTTTCTGATCCGCGCCTTCACATCTTCATCAGATCCACGTTGACTGTCGATGATGCTGCCCAGATAGGTAAAGGTGTTAACGTCCTCCAAGGCGTATCCATCTAAATGATATGACTGGCATATGTGTTGTATCGTAGAATCTTCCTTTCCCCTGCTGCTTCTTAGGCTGATGCTACATTGATCGTTTTCTCTTGCATTTGTTGTTGAGTATGCGATAGAAGAGCCAGGTCACCTGCGAAGAGCAGATCGTCCAGCTGCATGGTGACTGTCCATTGTACACAGTGCTTCCCTCCAGATGTTGACTTCTTCATAATTCAGTCAATCTGCCAGGAGAAAAAGAAAGGGTGAGAGTAAGCAATGTTGCTTGACACCGGTCTTCACCTCAAATGAGTCTGTCAGCTGTCCTCCGTGCACGATGTTTCAGTTTAGTCCACCACTGAATTCCGCATTAAGTTGAATATCTTCTCAGCTACGCAGTAGTGTCGAAGAAATGACACTATGTGATAGATATCAGTAAACTGTTTATAAATAAATTACTTTGAGAATATTCAAGCCTAACAAGGTCTTGTCAGATTGTGAAGGTGTACGAATTTTTCCGTTTAGATATAGCATAAGGTTTAAACTTTGAGTTAAATTTCATCGTTCATAAGTTTGCGATTTCTTCATGCTTTAAATTATGCCACATTTTTATATGCTTTTTTTACAAGTGAATTCAAACGAATCAATTCTACAAATCTTGTATTAAATTTTCAATCTAATTCTGATCGTAATATTGGTCTACAATTGAGTGGTGATATTATAATATTGGCTTATCATTCCAGAAGTTACCCTTTGAAACGTATACGACTATTCCGGTAAGTGTATATTACTGTTTTTGTGTGATGTTATTCTTTCGAAATTGATTTTATTTAAGTTCATTGTGTGCGTGCATGTTCGGTTTTTTATTGCATCAGACTATAATTTAGTGGTTGTACAAGTTACATTTTACTTAGACAGTTTATGATGTAAATGTTTTGTGTTGCTGCTTTCTTGTAATCGATTATTTTTTACAATCCATGTAAACAAGTTATGTGTGTCATTTTTTCCTTTCAAAGATACATGAATCATAACTTTCAGTGATCATTACTAAAGCATAATTTGTAAAGACAGAAATGCTCGTTAAGACAAAAACACACAGTATCTTTTTCGCAATTTAGTTTCACTGTATAATAAATGATTCATTCAATTCAAAATTTATGTCACATACAATCATCGGTTAAAACAAACGAATATAGGCGATATAAAGCAATGATTCTTTAATTTAGATCTGCACTACTTGACTAGCAATAAACACCACTGTTGTTTACTATTTCGTCGTCGTATCTGACACCTAATCATAATTCTCACAAGAGGTTTACTTACAGAAAGCCGCAAACATTTAAAGATTGTTAGTGATAGAAATATCACTACATTCTCGTATGGACGCGTTATGAGAAATACGTGTAATGAAAGAATAATGATAACATAGAAGAAGTTGCTCCAATCAATTCTTCATGAAATACCCACTGGATTTTTTCAGTTAAGTATTATGTTACTGATGTATATATAATCCCAATAAAGGTAGGATATAACGTTCATATGTCTAGTGAAAAGACTCTACTATCTTTCCCCTCAATCAACCAGTGGTAAATTTCATTTATCTCGGGGTTGTGAAGATTGTTAACTTACACCTTTGAAATCATGAATCGATCAATGCTAGACCACCATTAAAAACCTGGAAGTACTGGACGGCCGTTTCATCCTGGTATGGGACTCATCAATGGCAGTGCGCATCCACGACTCCTGCAGCCAGCAGTATTCGAACCAAGGACCTTCGGTCTTGCGCGCGAAGGTCTAACTTCTGGACCACTGGCTGAAGTAAGTGGCCTCCATCAAAGAGGAACCTTATCATTTCTGTGAATATCTTTACTTTTGTTTGATGGGTCACTGTTCAAATTCACACCATTCTTAAATCTCTCATTTATTTGTATAAATAGGCAATCTGAATTTACTACAAACAGAATAAATATCGTTCACTTATTCACATAAATAGAATATTTAAATAAACTATCCTACTTTATGCTGTATAAATTTGTACCCAACTAAATATGGACATACTTTATGAAATATTTTAAAATACTTTAATTTATATGACAAGTTGAAAGAATTGCAAACATTCTTCTTTTTGTTTTTTTTCCCAAATTTCGATTTCCTACTGCTTTGAAACTTCTATTTTTTGTTGTTGTTCTAAACTGACTTTTATGAAATTAAATCAATTTTAAACAGTTACTTTTTTCTTTTTTACAACTAAACATATACAGAATAATAGTGTATTGCCATTACCGTACTTGCATTGAATGGAAAATAGGAACAACAGTAAAGATCTATTTAGTTACTTCTACATTTTTTATTTACACTGATTTTTATCAACATTTCTGAAGCATAAATTTCACAGAATCTTTCCTTCAGCTTTATGCCTTTTACCCAATGGAATTTAGTGATAGTTTTTGACTGTGCAAACAACACAAACTAACATATTCAAAAATTGACACACACATATAGATCAACATACCAAATATTTGAAAGTTTATTCAAATGACATTCTTCATATTACTTGTCGTATAGAATTTTCTTGTGTATGTTTAACTACTAATGATATCTAAACATATTTTATCAACATACTGTTCGAAGCAAATCCTGTCTAATTTAATTAACACCATGTTGTCATCACTCTTGAATGTAAACAAACAATATCAACGCAATATTGTTTTTGTTCCTTTCACTGAACAGTTTAAAATTCAATCAATTTTATTGGTGTAGATCAGTCAGTCAGTCAGTCAGAAGCAACGTAGAACTTCGTACGTAAGTACATCAGTTCATGTTGCCAAAACACATCAGCACAGAGATATAATTGTCAATTCAAACCCAATAGTAGAAGAGGTAGTAAACGTATTAGAAGTAATCAGAGAGGTTAGGATTAGAAGATACAATTCAAGCAGTATGATTCAGTGAGAAAAGTTTAGCGAGTCGAAACTAGAGGTGTTGAAGAATTCATAAGATTAGGATTTGAGAGAACACGAAGAGTGGATGCACCTGCACCACTGCAAACGATTTTGAGCCATGTCATTCACGGTCTCTAACCATCGATTATTATCATCTTGCGGACCCCAACCAGGTAGTCAATAATTACCGACATGGCTCAGTCCACTCGTCAATGACTTCATGAATTTCTGCCATGTTTTGGTTTGTCCGCCCCTAACTTTCTTCCAACCTATTCCTACACTACAAAATAAAGCTCGTCGAAGCAGTCGGTGGTTAGGCATACGCAACACATGTCCCAACCACTTCAACTGATGAAGTTTCATTACTTCATCTATTGATCTGCCATTCTTACCTAGCACCCGCTTCCTAATAACAGCGTTATTGGTGTAGATCGTTAAAATACACATCTTCAAAATGTCTACAATACACATTTCAAGTGAATACTATAGAGTTCAAGGGAAAAAATGTGAAGCGATCATACTTTTGAATATTTACTTGCTCTTATTCATTCAATCATAGCACATGCTTAGCTTAACTTTTTGTTCAAGTCTATAACCAGTACTTTGTTTCACAATCCTTGAACTAACAGAAATTTCTCTTATCATATTAATAATTATGTTTAAAAGAAAAACTATTCGACGTAATGAAGAATCGTATCTTCTGATCATGACCGAAATTTCGGATAAGCTTTTTTAACACGTCTGAAATCACCAATCAATCATTTTTAGACCACCATTAGAAACCTAGAAACACTGTACGGCCGTTTCGTCCTGGTATAGGACTCATCTTAAAATGTGCTTACTAGTGACTAGCTTCGTGAGGACATTCTCGAAGTTCTAGTGAGAAGACGTGATTAGTGGAGCTCAACACTGTTGGATGTAGGCAGGAACTACCAAAGACAAATTGGTCAGGTCGCGCAAAATCCGTAGATCAATCAGAGTTAGACATTGACACCGTTGGATGCCGACCCAGAGGTCAGGTGTTAGCGCGCAAGACCGAAAGGCCCGCGTTCAAATCCTGCTGGGTGAAGGAATCGTGGATGCGCGCTGCTGATGAGTCCCATACCAGGACGAAACGGCCATCCAATGCTTCCAACGATGATGAATGATTGATGATTTCAAATGTGTAAAAACGATAATCTCCATAACTATAATTGAATAAGCTTTTTTAAAAAGATTAAATCCAAAGATTAAAAAAACATTTAGTTGTATGTATTAGGATTATGTATAAGAAATAGTATAACTTTCGTTCTATTGAGGAATGCGAGTTCTTATTGACATGTAATGAACATAAAGTATAGAAATAGTTCAAACAAATAATCTCATTTTTGTTATTGTTAAACATAAACATATATATAGTACTCTAGTCTTTCTGTATGACCCCTTTAAAATGAAGATTATGCATAGAATTACCAAGAATAACAGCACTGACCAGAATTAAGTTCAGATCATCTCTCACATCATTTTTCTAACCAATCAGAATGATTATTACCAGGATTTCTCACATTTAATATGATTAATTTTCCTGACTCACGAAAGATAATTGTTGGAGATGTCAGATCCCTAGAACTCTCTTGATAAATATCTTTATTTTGGATTTATTTCATGGACCGGTCAGTTTACCTTGAGATCACATTTCCCACCAGGAAAATCATTGGCTGTGATTGGTTATTGTGTCATTTGAGTGTACTATTTTTGTGACTGTCTCAAAGACGTCTCTATAGTGTATAAATAAACGCGATTTAAGTGCTTGGATTCATTGTGTGCTGGGTGGCTGTTTGTAAAATACAATTTCAATACTATATCAAGACTTCTTACATTTGGGTCAAGGGATCAGAGTAGCCTACCTGGACCTTGGTTCATTTTTTTGTTCTCGTTATTCGGCTAAGGTGAACTCGTAATAGTTTTAAGCATACCTAGTGACGAGCGTAACAATAATCTAACTTTGATTTAAATTATTCAACCTTTCTTTAGCATTAATTACTTATTACCCATTTCATTGGTAATTTCTTTCAAATATATATAAGCACGTAAGCATTTATAGTAGTGTGTACAATGACAAGAGTTCCAATAAAGTAACATGGCCCATTAAATTTAAACACACATTAATCTAATTAAATCATGAATAGTGTCCTTCCAGCAAACTACTTTTTTACTATTTCATAAATGAAAAAAATATGCTTTTAATGGAAGAATAAAATATTTTTTTTTATTGCCTATTTAATGGACACATACTACTTAATGGTGACCTTTATTAGCAAAAAAAAAATAAAAAAGAAAGTGCTTATTCTATCTATATACAATGAAATGATAATTTGGAAAATACAATGTCAAATAATAATTGACCAATACCATGATTTATTACATAATTAAACTAACTAGAAGACAAAGGAACAAACAGAAAGTGAAAAAAAAAACAAAATAGGATTGAATTTCGTACAATAAAATGTTCAATGAGAAATAATAGTTCATTTAAAACTGTATAACTTTGATGGATTTATTGCCCATTTAGTGGGTCCGTGAATAAAGTAGACTATATATAGTATAAATTTGCAATGAATTGCTACACCTGTATGTAACATGAATAAAATCACTTTATTCACTAGTTGAAAATATCTATAACTACTCTCTATATTTTTATACGAGTTCAATGTCTAGAGGAAATGAGACAAATAAGAGAGCAGGGGGAATGGATGGCTCAGTCGATTACTAGAAGCACTTGTGACTAATAAGGGTGGCAGCGGACAAAATAATACCAAAAAAATAATTCTGATGTGAAATAATAATAAAACTATTAGTGGAAGCTAGTGTGATAAGACGCTATAATTTGGATGAGAGAGGACTGAAATAATCTATCATTAAGTGGTAAAGTAATAAGTCTTTTTATAGCAACCATAAATAAGAAACCAAATCTTCACTAAAATAAACAGTGAAAGTGTTATCGTGAGTAAACGGAAGTGCAGTGATGAATCAACCAACACCAAGTGGAACAGAAGTCCATGCATTGCTTAGAAATTGAAGTTGCGAGAACAAGTAGCAATAGCTTTTCATAATGATCGAAATTTCCTTAGTGTTCTGTCTATGTATCCTTTACAAAGCAATATCAAAGCCCACCTAATAATAACATGTACAGATTATATATCTTTGTATGGCGCTGCTGGATAGTTTACAGCCATTCTGCGTCAAATTCTTTTATTTATTAATATACTGAGACTTTTTTATTATCCTTAAATCTGCGTAATAATGAATGCGATTTTGCGTTGGAATATGTTATTCTATTTACCTAAATCACTTTTCTGAATTTCGGCATGAATACTAGTTGACTGACTGATTTGAAATATCATCAAGTAATCTGCATTATTTTGCTTTATCAAATAAATTTCTCTATGCCTTGACAGGATATTTTCATGTCACAATGTCTGATGTGATTATTGAACTTGCTAATAGAGATGTGAAGTTTAAGTAGTCCCCTCATATTATTAATTAATTCAAATATGAATTAATTAAACGGTTGAAATAGAGTCATTTGAAGTCATCTACTATTTTCACTTGTGATAATCATGTATTTCGATTAGTGTTTAAACACCGAAACATGAAATCATAATGTTTATCAAAATATTTGGTGATGTTTTTAAATGTTTTCGGTACTGATTATTTTGTCACATGAAATACAGTACTTACTTACTTACACCTGTCACCCCCAATGGAGTATAGGTCGCCGACCAGTATTCTCCAACCTACTCTGTCCTAGGGCTTCCCTTCCAGTTCTGCTGAATTTTTGTTCATTCTTCTCGTTTCTGTCTCTGTTTCCTGGCGTAATCTGTATATTGGCCTTCCTCCTTTCCTTTTACCTTGAAGGTTCCAAGTGAGGGTTTGTTTCGTGACGCAATTGAGTGCTTTCTGCAGTGTATCACCTACCCACTTCCATCGCTTCATGACTTATTCCTCCACTGGGATCTGGTTTGTTCTCTCCCATATTAGGTTGTCGCTGATGGTTTTTTGGCCAATGGATCCCCAGCAAACACTTGTATCTTCTGGATGATGGCTTTCCTAGTCCGCCAAGTGTCCGCCCCATTCAGTAGAACTGTCTTGATATTTGTATTGGAAATTCTGATTTCGGTTTTTGTTGACAGTTGTTTTGAGTTTCAGATGTTGTTCACTTGCAGAAACGAAGCCCTTGCTTTTCCGATCCGCTCCTTCCCATCTGCATAAGATCCACCTTGGTTGTCGAAGGTTGTTGCGCAGATATGTAAAAATGTTAACGTCCTCTAAAGTGTGTCCATCAAGAGTGATTTAGTTGGCGCATGTTGTGTTGTTTCGTAGAATCTTGTTTTTCTCTTTATGTATGTTGAGACCAACTGCTGCTGATGTTGCTGATACACTGGTCGTCTTCTCTTGTATTCGTTGTTGCCCGTCAGATAAAAGAGCCGGATCATCTGCGAAATCCAGATCGTCCAACTGCATCGTGACTATCCACTGTATACCGTTCTTCCCTCCAGATATACACAACACATACTTCTTGCATTTATACGGGAAATGAATATGTTTTTAGCTAAAAATGTTTTTTTTTTCGAAATCTAAAATCAATGCCTTCAATAATAATCAACTTGTTAGTGTTACAATGCCACTGTTCTATAATCCTCGTCATAATATCAACTATCGATCTTTCATATACAGATGATCGTTTTATTTGAAATGACAATTTATATGGTAGAAATTAGACATTATGACAGTTACAACTCTACTCAGTAAGAAATATTGTTTATCATATAGTGATATTGTTTATGGAATCATTAAATATACTTTCTTAAGTATCAATACGCTCTGTGTGTTAAATAAAGCTAAGCATATCATGTCAAGTTGTAATGGTCTAATTTCTGCTTTATTCCTCAGACTTCATATACATTCCTGTCAAGGAATCGAGGATTGGATACGATTTACACCAAATGATTTTGATGAAATTTCGGAATGTAAGTTTAAATTTGTGTTTTAACCGGAATTTTCTTCTTCTTTTTTTTTGTTGTTGCTTAAACTTCCTTTATTTTGTGTACATGGTTGATTCATTAAAAATTTTTTTTTTGATTATGCTAAACAGTATGAAGTTTTGTGTGCAGCTCAATTCATTGCATAAATTAACAATACAAACAGAGATAGAATAGCTAAATAAAACAAAATTTATTCAAGTTGAGTCAAACAGAATCGAGCTATCATGATGTGACTTGTTAGAAAACCCCATAGCTGATTAGGATTCGAAAGAAAGGCACAAAAAATAAGACGTCAGTAGTCACATTGGACTTGAGCCTTGATTCTAGTAACGTAGTGCTGAAATTTCATATTTTGAAACTGATTGGTGTATTTTTCAATCTTTACTAGGCACTCTAGCACGCTGAAGATTCAAGATAAGTTTATTCGATTAGTTTCAACTAGTCTTAAAACCTAGTTTTGTCCTTTTTTTCTCTGATTGTCGTCAATCGAAAACGAGCTTACGACTAATTCAAGTCACATTTATAGTAATCGACTAACACCAGGGACCGGACAACATTATAATGACTGAAAGTGACTGGGTAATTTGGCATAAACGGTAGAATAGTACAAATCAGATCAAGCGTCAGTGCTTCCATAGGGTCACCATATATAGTTGTAAAAACACCAACCTCCAAAAACTCTGCCCTAAAATATCGTAACAGTGCTCACTAGTCACTAGCTTCGTGAGTAAATTCTCAGAGTTCTAGTTGAGAAGACGTGACCAACCCTGTTGGGTGTAAACAGTAACTACCAAAGACAGATGAGTGAGGTCTCGCAAAATCCGTAGATCAATCAGAGTTAGACATTAACACCGTTGGATGCCGGCCCAGTGATCCGGTGGTTAGGCATTCACGCACAATACCGAAGGTCCCAGGTTCGAATCCTGTGAGGTGCAGGAGTCGTGTATGCGCACTGCCACTGATGAGTCCCATACCATGACGAAACGGCCGTCTTTCAGTGCTTCCATGTTTCTAATGGTGGTCTTACAATGATTGATTGATGATTTCAAATGTGTAAATACATAACAATTTGGCAATTACCTTTTCTTTCTATTAAATGAATATACTGAATGATGTTCGCATAATTACGAATATAATGAATGATCTGATGAACACATTTGCTAAAGTTTTTCATTCAAATCAAAAGAATATGATAATAATAAGTGTTAACGACAAAATACATGATTTTTTTCAACTCTAGAAGATTGCCATTTGAAGCTTCTGGATTTCAATGTTAGTATTCTCCAAAAATAAAGTATTCATTAAAATAAAATTGATCGTTTAAAAGTAATTAAATCAGTGGAAACAGTACACGATGTAGTTTCGTCTACCTTCAATTATATTTAACGTGAAAGCATGATGTAGATAATATATATATATACAATTAGCCATATTACAGTTTGATTGATAGAATTCTATCGTTACCACAAAGACTCACTCCAAAAACACTAGTTAATACTCCATGAATAATCAATTATAATTATCTAAGTTCTAGAAAATTGCCAGCATCAATTTAAATAATTCACTTGTAGTGTAGTGCGAGCTACTTATAAGTAGTATATGACGCGAGTGTAAACGTAATGTCTGGCAGCAGAAGATGGGCGAACATCAAGAAAGGAAGAGTTAGAACACAATGGAATTTGTATGAAACGCATGAACAGTGACAATGGATTGATGTTTTGCAACAGGAACAGTCCAGTTCGATATGATGGACTGATATTTTGCAAATGAACGATTTACGATATGGTTTTCCTATTTTACTCAGTAACTGTGTAATTTTCGTTAAATACAATTCGGTTGCCCTCACCTGTGTTCTCCTTCACTGCAGTAGTACTTCAGACTGTGAAGCTGGCTGAGTGACAAGGAATCAAGCATACCTGAGAGCATTATTTCTCTCAGGATTAAAAGGACACCTTGTTAATGAATGAATACCATGTAGCATGATGCATGGTTAAGGTTATCCTGACTACTACTTTCAACTACCACCTAATATAAAACTTTACTAATTTCATTCTTTAAAATAAGGTAGATTGTTTTTTTTATTCTGTTTTTGATAGAATATTTTTCATTTTCTTACGTCATCATGATAAGCGTTTGCTTTAAATTAGTTCTATCAGTGTTTTAAAGTGTCAGGTCATCAGAAAAGATTACTTGATTGTCATAAACCATAACAATCAATGATTGATTGATTGATCTTCCATTGTATCTTTCATAACAAAAATGTTTCTCTTTTGAACGAGTGCACTGCTTGATAGATTATTAAACACTGTAGCAAACAGGTTATTGATATCATTCAAAATGTTGATATTCACTAGTGAAATACAGCTGCAACTATGAGGATAGTAATAGTTAATTAACATGTTAAACATTGGTAATTTTTTCGAGTGTAACACTGAATCTTTAGTTCAGATAAAACTGAAAATCATCTGTAAATGTGAAAATTAGTTCCAAGCTATTTGATTTCTTGTATAAAAATGTGTTTTCATGACTTATTTCCACTGTCTCAACCGTAGCTGCTACCTTGACTTGGTGGTCAGGCTTGCCTATCACGATGACCGAACCGAGCTATATTGGCTGGAACACATATTTCTACCATGCAAGGCAGGTCGATTGGAGAACGATGAGACTAAAAGCAGCTACTCAAGGTCTGAGGACGAAGTCGCACTGCTGGCTGTAGACGGGTGTGACAACAGTAAAGTGTTTCCCTTGGACAACCAGCATCTGAAGCGATGCTGCCTTCTCACAAGAAAGGGAGGGATTAGAAACGATCGACCTTAAAAATGTCGGACATCGCCTTACTCCACGGATTTTTGTCTCTGGTCGTAAGGCTTTTTGAATAGCGGAGCTGACACTTCCAATACTTCCCATAAAAAGGCCGTACGTGACCTGCCACAAGCAGTAGTCCCTTAGGCTCTGCAATCACTCTTACAGGTCGCTAAGACCAATACTAACCTGATTTTATTTCCAGGTTCCTCAAGAAGAAATACCTTTCCACAGTGTGTTGTCATCCGTGAAGTGACATCCACCCTCATACCCGTAACATCGCACGGGACCAAATCAGTCATAATCAAATCCTTTCTAAACCTCCTAATAACTTCAGTACCCCCACGACTAACCCTTCTCACATTCCTTTTCACTGCACTATGAAATACTTCGGGTAACTTGGAAACATACGAAAACCATCGATATTATTGAGGTTTTCATTTGACTAGTATAATAGTTGAATCCCATTGATCCAAGTCTGTATCTAACAGCCAAGTTCATGTAAACACTTCATTGACAAAAATGAAATCAGTTACATGAATCACTATTTTTTAACACATACTGTAGTGAAGGAGAACACAGGTGAGGTCAACCGAATTGTATTTATCGCAAATTACAGAGTTACTCAGTAAAATAGGAAAACCATATCGTAACCGTTAATTTGCAAATCTTCAATCCATCATCAATCCATTGTCTGACATTTCACTATTCATGCGTTTCATACAAGTTCCATTTTGTTCCCACTCTTCCTTTCTTGATCTTCCTCCATCTTCTGCTGCCAGACATTAAGTTTACACTCGCGTCATATACTACTTATAAGTAGCGCGCGCCACAATACTAGTCTTAAAAAAACAAAACTACTGAATTTCACACACTTCAAAAACAAACAAATAAATTCAAACAAAATTATTACAATGAAAATTGACCAATGAATAATGAACTAGTTTATGATTGATACATTTTTTTGTATATTTTGTCAATGTGTAACTTTTTAAAAATGCTAATTTCTTCTCAATGCCACTCACTCTATCCTCATAGACGACTAATTGTTGATTATTCATGCACTTTTTAAATGTATCGACTTTTTCCAAAAAAAATAAAACAGAAAAGTTAGTTCTCTTGTATCTCTTGTAGCCAATGACTTATTTGGCTGTTTCAAATGTTTTCGTTAATGAACCATATGTCCAAAAAGTTTTTCATGTTGTTGCTTGTTTAAAACAATCTTATTATTGTATAATATGCTAGCTAACACAGCCTTTTCTATTATAAACTAACAAGGTTGAAGAATATAGATATTCTAAGTCACTGTTCGTCAGCATATTGACTGTTTACATAAGTATATGTTATATTTATGTATGCATGATTGAGAATTATACTTTTTCAGTGAATTGATTTTCAGCTTTTCACACGTACATATATTATTATTCAAATATTTCTTCAAGAATAACTTGGGTTGCTTCTTTTGACCTGGAATATCATTAAATCTGATGGGATAACATAATTTGGATCGTTGTTGTTTTACACTGTCTGTAGTCAAGAAAATATTTGTTCCAAATTATGTGCCTATAAGAAATGATGAAGGCAGTGGTTGTAATCCGTAAGTATCTTAGGTAATGTCTAACATCTAATGGAACTGAAGTAGAAATATTTTTCATAGTTCACCCTAGTTTTGTAAAATATTTATTGAATAGTACATAATGATCATGGCACCTAAAATTTAATCGCATCACACAAACTGAATCAGTCAGAATGCTGAAATTTTTAAAATGACTGCATAGACAATTATTTTTTTTTTCATTTACTGTACGCCAAATGTCATTTTTCCTTAACTCACTACAATTGTATCATTTTTCAATTTTAGCTTTCCCTTCCTCGATGAGCTTAATTCTAAACCTTACTTCGAAACCCATTCCATTAACTGATGGTAAGTATGGTTGTTTGCACATTTTGTTACCAAAAATTATCTATAAATTAATTGTATTCATTCAAATTTTTAAGGTCCTCTATATTAACTTGGTTCATGACAAGTTTCTTTAATTTTGGGTGAAGTTTCATGATTTAGTGGATCCAAAGAATTAGAATGTGTATGGATATCCTACAATGACACTAGATATTGCTAAGACGAAGCTTTGAGTTGATTCAAAATGAATAATGTTAACTATTCGATTCAGACTCTATGAATA